AAAAAAAAAAAAAAAAAAAAAAAAAAAAAAAAAAAAAAAAAAAAAAAAAAAAAAAAAAAAAAAAAAAAAGGGAAAGAAAAGAAAAGAAAAAGAGCAGAGGTGGAAGCGACTAAAAAATATTATTGAGTCATTCGGATGAGCAGCAGCACTGGTGGCTGCTGTACCTAATCTACAAGCGAAGCCCTGTTGGATCACCACGTTTCACGTCATCCACACTGCACCTTTCCCAAACCAGCCCCCCTTCCCCCCTCACCCCCCTTTAGGGTCCCAACCTGGGCCTTGGCCGTCCAGGAGTCATGACTGGAAAAGTTCCTCATGCTGCTTTCTGTGAGGAATACGACGAGGACGCTCATGTTATCATCCCGGAGACCCGTCAAGTCGCCAACCTCGCTGCCAAACGTTCGAAACTGGACCTGAGATCAGCTGGCGAGGCCCTAGTTGATATCGCAAGCGATTCTGGCTACTCTAGCCGCACTGCCGCCACCGTGAACAGCACCCAATCTGGCCCGTCGGGCCGGAAAGACCCTGTCCCTCTTAAAATTGACACAACGCCCAAGAGGGCCGACCTCGAACGTGTTCGCTCCCACCGCAAAGACCGCCCAAAAGAACGACCTGCTCGCCCTTCTTGGGACGAGAAAATGCAAGTTGGCACCTATCCTGCTGTGAGCCATCACCACGCCTCCATGCAGCGGTCGCCATCGCGGTCCCGCAGACGGGAAAATTCCCAGATGCGGCACTTCCCTGGCACCTGTTGGGAGTGCGATCAGGGCTTGTATCATGGGTCCACCCCCGTTGAACCGCGAGCCATCGACTACCCATATTATATGTCACCATCTACCACGTCGTCCGTCCACGACTACCCCCCTCCGTCACCACAGGGGCCGCGGTATGCCCCTTCCGCCGTCCAAGATGTCCATGTATCCCACAGCAGCCGGCCTCGTAGCGGTCGCTCGTACTCTTATCACACGAACAACAACCGACCGGTGAGCTTTCATGGTATGGTTCCTGGGATGGGCGGCGGAGTTATGTATCCTCCCAGCCATATGGGTCGCTACGAACATGGACCCCCTCCATCCTCTTCCGCCTACACCAATCCGCCGGCCTATGCTCCATCTCCCTACGGTCAACCGTCCCCGTATTTTGCCGCCATGTCCGACTATGGTCCGCCCGATCGCCAAGAACGGTCGGCCTCCAGGACGCGGGACCAAGGCAGGCCACGGCGCGGATCCACTTACGGGCCACCCGTCGTTGACTATGATCCGCCCTCTGCGTATGAGGATGATGAATCCCTTGATCTCCCGCCGCCCCGTGCACCTCGACCACGGCTTCCATCCCATTCTTCCCATGACCGGGATGAAGACTATTACCGGATGCCGCCCCCACCCGTGAAGCACAAGCCCGCGCCGCACGTTATTCAGAAACGACCGGAACTCCACCGAAAAGCTGTGACTGCGCCATCGGTCACGTCCGATCGACACCCATCACGCTCGATGGACCTGTCCGAAATGAGAGATGCTTTGCCAGAATATGGATATCGACGGTCATCCCGGGAGACCGTAATTCCTGCGCGAACACGCAGCATTCGAGACAGTCGACGCCCCGCAGCCTATCATGAATCTTCGCGACCATCACGGGTGGCGGTCGAGAACTCCCGTCGCCGACGACCAACCGTCTATGAGTACGATGATGGTGACGATGATGAAGAGGACGAGGAGGACGACGGTGACGAGATTGAGGTGAAACAGCGATCAGCCGAGGAGTACCAGGCATCTCGTTCCGGCAAAGTCGTGCCAACGCCGTTGACGGAGGATGCCCTGTACAAATCTAAGGCGTCTCGGGCAGAGAGTGACAGCGGCAGTCAGAAAAGCCGCTCGAATAGCAGCCGTGGTAGCGACGCACGGACCCAAAATGGTAGTGGTAGTGGGGCCAAGGCGGAGGAAGACAACAACATTGTCATGACGATGAATGGCGTTACGATGAGCTTTACACAAGAGTCTGTTGGCGGAAAGAAAATCAGTCTCCGAACAGGCGACGCGGGTGCAGTCGAACTGAACATCGAAGGGAAACGACCAAAGAAGTACCTGACGAATGGTTCTGACTACACGGGAAGCGTGACCCAGAGACAGCTAGAGGACCCCCGGCGGGCACGTACCGACCGACGGTCCGACCGCGCCAGTCGGCGGTCGAGTCGGTCGACCTACAGCGGTCGATACTAACTTGCCTCTTACCGGGTACTATGTTTCACTTCCATGCTTGCTTGTGCGATTTGATTTTATATTTACCGAGTTCCCATCTGAGTGCTCTGGATAAAGACGTCGTTTGCCAAAAGTTTGTCATTTCTCGTTTCTGGGTTGGCCGCCTTTCCTTGCACCAAAGAAAAGGAAAAACATAAAAAAGACACGAGGCGATAACGCGCGGAAAAGTTCGATGATTCGTTGCTGAAAAGATTTTGGTTATGGGAGGCATTCTGGGTTCGGATTTTCTTGCTTTGGTTTGACTTGTTCGGGTATAAATGATAAAGAGAAGGGCGGGTTTGAGGCTCTGACCGATCACGTCCATCATGGCGACATGATTGTATGATTCTGACGACCTGCATGATTGATGTTTTTTATGTTACGGTACTATGTTGTGATGTTGATGTTGTTGCTGTTTGATGTCTTGATGCCCTAAGCGTTTGTAACATCTTTTTCTGGAAGCTTCTTGTTTCTTCGTCTGTTTAGTTCTCTGTTGTCAGTTGGAAGAAATGAGTTGTGGCAGAGAGAGGTATACCCCATTGTCGTTGTCTCGATCCTGTATCTTCTGCGTGAGCTTAATGTGACAAGTTCTTATGCTGTTGTAGTTGATGTTGATGTTGATGTACGCTTCCAGCCATGACTTGTATTGATGACCTTTGTTGTTTCCTTGATATTCTTTCTATGATAGCTACCCAACTACTTATGGTATGCTTGATCGCATATCTAATCGCTCTTATTGTAGTGTGTTTCCTCACCCCATTACCTGGCTTCGTTCTTTGCTGCGAGCTCCCTCCTTGAAGCTCGAGCGATAGGCGCGGCTTTCTCATGACATTAGTAGAATATCTCTATTAATAGTCAATCTTGACAAAGCTCCTGGTAAAAAGCATCTTTTTGGGGTTCGCGCCCCAAGAGGTCAGTTAGAATCTTCACTCCATCTAGGCTCCCTCCCTTCTCAAGGACAGTATATCGGTATCTCCAACCCTCTCGATAGTTCATTGGGTCCGGTTTGAACACGGTATAGAACATATCTGTCGCATAGACCTTCGAGCTGTATCATCACCTTCAGTAATCAAGTCAATTCTCTGGTCAAAAGAATGATCTCACAACAAATAACTGTAGTACCCTGCATCATACTCCCCCAGCAAGTGTTGAAAGCGTGTTTGACCATGGCCCCAGTCGTCACCCTCTGGGCCATCCATCGGTAGAATCTTAGCGAGGAGGTTATTATATTTTGCCGAGATGTCTAATTCCTTTATCGCGTTGTGATCGTCAGGCTCGTGGACTACCATATCAAAGATAGCGAAATGCAACTGACGCAAATGGAACAGTGCGCCGTTTACGTGTTCGGCTCGGAGGATGCTCTCGATCATCGCGTCAGGTATTTGCTCCTGAGGCTGAGGCTCCCTCTCTACTCGCTCTTTCCAATGGTCAAAATACTCCGAGGAAAGGTACGAATAGTGTCTGCTTAATAACCGCAGTACTGATGGTGTCCAGCACCAGTTCTCCAGCATCTGACTAGGGGCTTCACCAAAGTCGACTTCTGTCTCTGTACCGTGGAAATGCGAGTAGGTTGTCTTTGAAACAAGATCATGGATTGCATGGCCCAGCTCATGGAATAATGTAACAAGTTCGTCATGCTTCATAAGACAGGGGGCTTCAGAGTTAGGGTTGGAGAAGTTGCACACCAATGCCGTGGCAGGATATTGGCGTGTACCGCTTTCTTGGATAAAACCCTAAGGGAAGTCAGTATTGGTTTATAGGAAGATGTAAGGACTGTAACAGACGGGTATCAGGTTGAAATTGGCTGCATTTGCGTATTTACCTTCCCGAAGGAAAAGATCCATATAGAGATACCCGACAAAGCCACCGTCCTCGTCACTGTTCCAGACACTAAAAACCTGTACGTCTTCATGCCAGACAGGCGTGTCTCCGGGACCAATTAGCTTCGTTATCTCGTCTCTGCTAAGTTCGCTGAAAAAAAGACCAAATAACATCTCGCAGACCTTCAGCATACCCGCGATGGTGCTTAGAAAAGGGAAATATTCCGCAATCTTCTGTTGGTGCACCGAATACTGCTTCTCCAGCATCATTCGATGATAGTATTGATGATCCCACAGAAAATACCGACCATCAAATGATTCTCCTCGAGACTCTAGGTCGGCCCTCTTAAGCCGCTTTAGCTTTTCGACTTCTCTCTGACCATTCTCACTCAATCGAGTTTGTAAGTCACCGAGAAAGGCATTCACAGTCTCCGGACACTTCGCCATTTTATCTTCAATCCGCAAAGCAGCATGACTGGGATATCCAAGCAAACGAGCCGCTTCATCACGAAGCAGGACAGCCTCCCTAAACAGGGGCACATTCTGTGTACACTTATTCTCATTGGCGATGTAGATACGTCTCCGCGTGTTGCTGTTCCTCGCGTAGCTCAGTGTTTTAAAGAGATCTGGATCATTAAACGTCACTCGGACCTTGTCCTCATTGACCTCTCCTACTTTCCCTCTCAATAACGTAGATAGAAAGTCCTCCGGCAATCCATCCAACTCTTCAACCGTAAACCAGATGCCCACACTATTCGCCTCGACCAAATTTCTCTGAAACTCAGCCTTAACCCAACTAAGCCGCGACTGAATTTCCCGAAATCGATCCCTCGGGTACCCGGCCGACAATCTCAGCCCATGCCGAACGTAGCCCATGTACAACTTCTTCAACAGGTGATAGGATTCTGGATCTAACTGTTCATCCTTGTGAAAGACCGCGTCAACCAGCGCAAACAAACCGTCATCCATCGTGGTCTCGACATTGTAACAGTCCAGCAGATTCCGGGCCTCGGTGGACGCATTCCGCAGTTCGGGGCTGGTCGATACGGCTCTATAGAAAACAAGGATATGGGACTTCGAAGCCAGAGTATTGTCGATGTGAGCCAGGGGGAGAATGACGTTGTTGAATGTTGCGGTGTTGGGCTGTATGTTCCTTTTAATCTGGCTTTGGCTTTCGCGGGCACGCTCAATCAGAGACTTGGTATCCTGTATGATTGTGGCTGGGTTTGCTGTGAAGGTCGGGGGTGGTTGGGGTGGGGTTCGTTGCTTTTGGGAGGCCATTTTTTAATAAGATAGACGGTTTTCTTCCATGCTCTCTGTCCGGGGAAATTGGAAGAATTGGCATTATTTAATGCTTTCTGTTAAATGGCACACAAGACAGCTGTCGCCTAAACAGGGAAGGCGGATCGAATTCGCAATATGATCCTTGTATAGTCACCATCGCGTACTCTTTTTCCTTGCCAACACGGCCCTCCCGTAACTTTTATGGGTTTTGTCATGTGCGAGTTAGCTAAAAGCGACAAATATTAATACGGTTCTACCCAGCGCTTTGCACGGAACAAAGATGCTCTATCTATAATGAATGTTTGACTTAAACCAAGCATTGTGGGTTGCAGTTTGACAGCAGCATCGTTCAGTTTGACGGGCCCTCCGATTGACTTCAATATGGTGACCCTTCGCAAATGCTGGTAATCCTGCCAAGCACAGCTAAGCCTTAGATGCGCGACTTAGGGCTTATGGAGGATCCTCCAGAATTATCTCCCAGCCATTCAGGTGCGTATTGCTTCACTTCTTTGTTTGGCTTACATTGAGGACCCCTCCCAGTCTGACTACCGGACAGTACAACGAGGATTCTCTTTGTTCTCAAGGCTATATAGTGGATTGATCATCCATCGCTACTATGTGTCTAGATCATGACTACCACACCTAAATTGGGAGTCTTCCTTATCCCCATCCATTCTCGCCAGCATGCATGATTCAAACTCCTCACCCTCCCCCCAGGCCAGCTTTCGCCTTGCCGATGGCCTTGGATACGCCCTGCAACAGAGCCACCGCTCTGTTATCCGCCTAAACTTGCAACACTTCCTCTGGCGTGAAGTCTTTGGCTTCCACATCCATCCCTCGGTTCAATTTCCATCTTCAGGCAGTTCTACCGACCCCCCTTCTCATCCTGCCATTGCCGACATCGCTACAGGTACTGCTTTGTGGTTGATTGACGTATCCCGCGACTTTCCTAAAAGCCGGCTGGATGGACTAGATATCGATCTTACTCAAGCTCCTCACCCTGGCTGGCTACCATCCAATATTACCCTACGACATTGGGACCTATTTGCGGGCATACCCGCGAGTCTTGAGTGTCAGTATGAGCTCGTACACGTCCGACTTCTCGTTTTGGTGTTGTCGGGGGTGGACCCAATGCCTGTAATCCGGCACCTATTCCAGTTGGTAAAACCTGGAGGCTACATCCAATGGGATGAGCTGGACTGTGTGAATATGCAGATCAAGAAGGTGAGCCCGTCTGTGCAGGCGCCTGCGCTGGAGGAAATCTGCGTTGCCTCCTATGCCAATGGGCGGCATGATTGGGGTGTTGGACTTGCCGCGCCTGCTCAACGAGGCAGGCTTCCAGGATGCGAAACTAGACTACTACGATGAGGGGCCAGAGTTGGTCCGGGCATTCAATGACCAACATTTGTTGACCATGGAGGAGTTTGCGTCTAAGCTGATGGGAAATGGTCAGGTCGAGGCTGCTGCGAGTTTTTTCAAACTCATTGAGGCTGGGTACCAGGAGTGTGTCGACGGGGCTGCATTGTCCATCCCGCGGGTGGTGGTGGTGGCGAAGCGTCCCGGCTTGGCTTGAATTGACTGCTAGACAAAGGATTTAAATCCCGTTGCCGTTTCTGGATGGTACAGTTCGCATCAGGCCGCATTGAAGATCCCCTGCACCGTTCTTTGTTTCATTTAGTTTCATTAGTACGCCTTTATCGGTACGTGTCCTACCATCTACCCTGCTCAGTACAGGGTTCGGGCTTTGGTCGTGATAAGTCCACCTAGTTGGTCACATGCAAATCTATCTCACCTCAACTCATGAAACAAAACCCCCCTTCGGTGTACAAAGTAGAGCTGCTGTTGTCTCCCCGATCAGACCTCCGTAGGACGTTCAAGAAGCCAAAGTATTGCCCGGATCATGAAGGACGTTGACTTGGAAATAACAACATGCGACGCGGGCAACGACTCATCTCCTCACCGACCCAAGCAAGAGAACAACGATGACTGTTCACAGTGCCTAAAGAAGCCCGAGGATCCCACAAACTGGCCTCGTTGGCGAAAATGGTCAATAGTGAGCTGCGTCGCTGTGATGTATATGTTAGCGTGAGTATATCTTATCAGACCTCGCTGCTCGCCCGTATCCGTTACTCATCCTTGGTATAGTAACTTTGGGACTATCATCATCGTCCCAGCTGTACCAATCATCCTATCTCACTTTCAAGTCTCGGGCAATCTCTATCAGCCCTTGATCGTCTCTATCTGGGAGCTGGGCGAAGGTGTAGGATCATTTGTAGTCGGGCCGTTGTCAGAGCTGTATGGGCGGAACGTCGTCTACCATGGCGGTAACATCCTCTTTATCCTCTGCTCCGTTGCGGCCGCGCTGAGTCATAATGTCTCCATGCTGGTGGCCTTCCGTTTCATAAATGGTATGGCCGTCACCTCCCTTACTCTTGCTCCGAGCATTATTGGAGACCTATTTGTCCAGGAGGAGAGGGGCGCCGCAATGGCGGTGGCCATCGCTCTTCCTCTAATCGGGCCCTGCGTGGCTCCGATTGTTGGCGGCTTCGTCAATAGCGCCCTTGGCTGGCGATGGACCATCTGGATTATGGCGATAGCTGTCGGCAGTGTATCGCTATTGTCACTAGCGGTATTCAAGGAAACCTACCGGTTCAAAATCCAGCAACAATCGCGAAAGTCGACAGAAAAGAAACAAGATCGTGGTGATGGGAATCACAATATTCCATCGTCAAGCAGCCACCCTTCTGCACCCCGTGACACAATCCTGAAATCTATTGTCCGCCCTGCGCGGATACTTTTCTCTTCCCCGGTGGTGCTAGTCACGTCCCTTTACACGGCGCTGACGTACGGAATCTCCTATCTCATCCTGACAACTCTGGCGGAGATCATGCAGAAAACGTATGGTTTCGGAGAGGGCCCAGTAGGCATCACCTTCCTCGGCCGAGGTATATCCAAGCTTTCCCACTCACCCACCGAAACCACTCTCACTAACCATGCCCGGTCCAGCAATTGGCAACATAGTCGGACTCTGCGTATACGGTCTTGTTTCTGACCGCTACGTGAAACACCGGCGCGAGATGGAAGGCGAGTCGAAGCCGGAACATCGCCTCCCGCTGATGATTTTCGGCACGGCGATGCTGCCCATCGGCCTGTTACTGTACGGCTGGCCAGCTGACAAACACGTCCACTGGATCGTGCCTCTCATCGGCACCGGCATCATCGGGTTTAGTATGCTTCTGACCAAGCTTCCCACGGAAAACTACCTCGTCGACGCGTTCGACGAGCAGGGCGTCTCTGCCTCGGCCCTGTCGGCGAATGCCACCCTGTGTGCGCTCTTCGGGGCTTTCTTTCCCCTCGCTGGTCCGTCGTTGAATCACTCGCTCGGCTTGGGTTGGGGGAACTCCCTCCTTGCGTTCCTGTCGTTGATCTTTTTGCCGCTGTTTACTTTGCTGTGGTTACATGGGGAGGGATTCAGGAAGTTGGGATGGGGATATCTCCGAAGGACCACTACTACTGCAAACCTTACAGAAGGTTAAGCAACTAGAGAAATACGATGCATGTTGAAGTAAAGACCTTTAATTGAGAATGAATTCAAGATAGAAAGAGGCTTGTAGGAATGGACATATCGAGTACTGCAAACCCTACGGCGGGTGCGAGAAGGCTAATGTTCCAAATTATACCCTTGTTACATTTATTCGCGGTTTACTTTGCCGAGAACTAATTGTGCTATGAGTTAGCTTGTTGGGCTAGAGGCAATTGATTTACTAGGAGTAGTAGGAGACGGGGTACAGTACCAGCGTCGTATGAAACCTCATCGCGGGCTGTGGCAGATATATCAACTGCTACACCGGTTAGTGCTTTCCGGAGCGTATCCTTGGACGACGAATATATCATCTTGTGCCTGATCTTTGCGCAGTCTGGTAACCTAAAAAAGAAATTAGCTACATGCACCATGAAGGGGTTGCTGATAGGAATCGAAAAACATGCCATGAGATAAAGACTAGCTTGTTTCTCTCGCTGCCATCCGACCTTTTGTACGCAAAATCGTAGACTGCCCATCTGCACTCGTCATCTGGAAGATCAGCCATGAACTCATCGTAGTCGGATGCTGATGAGGTTTTCAGAACGACGATCTCTTTGAAGGTAGAGTCCACCCCGTAGATAACATATTTGAAAGACTTTTTGAGCTTCAACGCATTGTAAGCCTCCAAGCATTCACTGCTTAGTGGTAAACCTGAAGCCTGTGGGATGTCAGCGTCGAGACTCTGAGAGTGAGACTTCAGGAGATAACACTTGCCATTGTGCTATAGCCTGTGGTGTTATGGGTATATAGTGCAAAGTCTTTCGTAGTAGAAGGATGAAAGGTAATAGGGGATGATGTAGGGACTCGGTACCAAGTTAAATACAAGATCGAAGCGGGGTATCGAAGCCAACACATCATGCAGGATGCGGGCGACGTGACCAGGCGCTGCTTGCAGCGCTGCCCGTAAACTCCGAATTAGGCTTGGGACTACCAAGTCAGCCAGCCACCGCCGGAAACGGTACCGCTTTGCCTGATATTACGTAGTTTGGTTCATCTTTCTATGTTGAGATCGACATTGTTCAATCCTCCATATCCAAACAGTTGATTCGAACTGGAAACGCCCAGCTGGCGATTTGTGGTGGTCGTGATTTAAAGTTGACTGTCATGCACTGGGCACTGATACCATTGGCTATTCTACGGCAGACTAAATCAGAGTTCCGGACAATGTAAAAGTCTTGCCGAAATCTGAGCGTTTTACATAACGCCACGACTACCACGCACTCCTAAATCATCTTGAACTATCCTTATATCACTCCAATTTTCCTGTCCCATAAATTATTGTCACTAGTCTAGATGTGTCTTTTTGGAAAGTAAACCCACTCTAATGTCTGAAAGGCCATCCCGCCCGTCTAGTTCTACCACCGGCCCTAAAAGTAGCGTCTTACTATCCCTAACTATTACTACTACTCCCGGGGTACTAGTATTATACTGGGGTCTCAGGGGATCTAAAGACGGGGTGCTGATAGTCCCTGAACACAGGGTTCTAAAGACGGGGTACTGACCTCTAACGATGGGTGCGGGTGGCCTCTAAAGAGGTAGTGCTGGTAGCCTAAAAACAGGGACTGGTGATTCCTAAAAAGAGGGTGTTGGGAGGACTGGCAGTCTTGAAAAGTCTATTATTCAAGACGGTAAACAGGCGGTATAATAACATCTCGGAATCAGACTATAAGTAGCAAATAGTCCAGAACTTTATTCTATATATAAGAAATATAATTGGTTGATCAGTATAGTGGAGCTCTATTAATTGACTTAATTGGTCAACAAAATTGTGCGTTGGTGTTGGTAACGTTGGTAATATTTGACCTTGTCCGTAACTACGATTTCGTTCACCGTACTATTCCACATTCTGCAGAAATTCGCTCCACACTAGAAAAACGCTAATTCTTCAAGATGTTTACGGTGTTGGATCCTGATCTGGAGGGACTGCTGCAAGAAGAAATACCACCTCACTTCTGTTCACGTGCCCCGTTAGGTGACGCGGAGCGGAGCGGAAAGACTAAACTTGTTCGCCCTCAGCTTTTCGCCTACCCCTTCATCTAGGATTGACAATGTCCCCTATACGGGGTCATAGATCGCACAGATATTGGAGAATTGCGGGCAGGTGTGTCAGCAACCGTATACCAGTGGTGCGATGTTGCTATATTCTCCCCGTAGCGAATCTCACTGCCGCATGCTCGGAACCTTAATGAGAAAATGGCCCAGTAAGGTGAGAGATTCAATATCTGGCCTAACTGCGGCAAAATCTTGGTGATCCAAAAGTCTCCATTCTTTTTTGTTCGCACAGATGAGCAAGAGAAAGAACTGGACAGTAGTTCGTATTGGGACTGCTTTAAAGGTAATGACCAACGTAGGTCCTAGATTGCTCTCCTTGCTTGGGTCATCCAGGTCTTTGCAGGAATTTGGATGAATCAGTACAACACCTACTTCTTCCACCAAGCGGTATTTGGAACCTTCCTGTTCCTCATCTGGTCATCAGTCCTCGCTCATACGCCAACACAGCGCAATACGGAAGCCTTGTGGCTAGCAAGATATAAGTGCAAAATTCTGCATTGACAATACCAACGAGAGTGATGATTATGACGGCACGGATGACGCAGACTACATGGATGGGATTCAATATAAGCCACGCCAATTAAAGAGAGCCCTCGCTTGGAGACAGAAATGTTGACCGTAAAATATTCGTGGGATTGGACTGGCTTTCCTGTTCTTGGCAGGGGAATACGTCTTCACCCTCGAGATTTGATCTTAAACGTTATATTTTATACATCGGCTAGTCCATGCCACTTTTGGCCTGGTTCAAAGATTTATTTTGTGGCTGTCTCTCCCAGAAGAAGCAGTACTGTCCCTTCTCCATTGCAGTGCGTCTAAATCGCGGGCCCGTTGCCCAGATCGGCTCTCCATCTGCATTCCTACCCAATTCGAAAGGTACTTGGTAGTCCGGTGCGGTTGGTAGATCCGGCCAGGTAAGCTGGTTGGGAGCGTTGAGATATCGGTCCAAACCCCCGTCCAATTTTCGCGAAGCCACCCAATCATTCAAAAATTTGCGGAATTTTGATACGTCAGAGTCCAGCATCCGATTACAAGGCCATTCTGAAATACCCGGCACCATGTCCATGGTTCGGTCCAGTGAGGAATACTCGTGAATTGTGCATCGTTCGTGATGAGCTCGTAGAGTGTGAAAACAACACCAGTCACGTCATCTCGGCCTTCCAGCAAGCGTCTTTTTCCGCATGCAGCCCAATCGAAATCGAAAAGAAGGATATTGTTTGTGTCAGGATCGATAAGAAAATTACGCGGTGCAATGTCTTGATGCATGATACCCAGTTCCAGATTTAGGAAGTCCACAAGTTGAGTAAGTTGTTGCAGCCATTCAAATCGGAAAGGCACATTTGTATTGTCGAGGGTTCCACCCGGAATATATTTCGTTGTGAATCCAATCACGTGAGACTCCACATCTTCGAGTACAATGCGATCAAATGGTACTATATTGGGATGTGGTGGCAAGCTTTTGAGAAGGTTGAGTTCATCCCACGCCATCTGCAGTCTCTGAGGTTTGTCCAAAGGGTTGAATTTGAAGGCAACCTTGTGAGGAATCCCGAATTCATCTTTGTATGATGATAGATCAACACCCGGTCCAAGCCGATCGAGCTCCTGAAGATCAGAGTACTGGATTTTAGGGCAATCGGCGAGGGATCCAGCAACGGAGAGGGGAGGATATGCAACAAAGGGGGTATCGTCCTCTTCCGGATCGGTCGAGACCCCAGCAAGAAGTCCATCATCGTCAACAGTGACTGTGCGAACTTCCGGCGACAAGTAACCCGCAAATTGTGCCAGGATTGGGATCTCTATATCCTCGTCTGGTGGAAACAGCTTGGCGCTGCCTTTCACCTTGACCATCCGCAGTCGATCCCAATCCCAAACATTACAATGGGTTTCGGTCAGAGGACTCTCTCTCGGGCCGAGGTACGCTTGTCCCTCGGAGTAGAACCTGTCTTGGTGCTTCATAACGGCAAATTTGGGCAATGTATTTGAGTTGAATGGTGTTTTTAGTATGTACACCTACAAGTCGAGTGTCACGTGACTACGGACAGACAGACAAAACTCAATCCCCTCCTAGACAGAGAACAACCCTCCAATAATATTTACTTACCGTCTAACTTGCCCTATGCACTTGTTTGTGGTCCTTGAAGGCAACCTAAGCGCATAAAATGAAGCTCGTATTGGTACAAAGAAGAAATATTCTCGAGATCCAAGCGTGACTCTGGAACACCAAGTGGGTTCATACTTGGATAGAATGGATTACTGCGCGCGAGATGATACATTAAATGCTCCAGGTCCGGCCATATTCATCTAGACGTTTTTTCCACCATGTCCCTCCCCAGATGCCCCCATGTGCAACACCCCTGCTGTCAACAAGGCAGGTGGATCGGGAGGTTGTTGCTCTGCCCACCCTAGTCGACCGTGTTAGGGTGATTTCTGACCCCAGTGCATAGATCATGCAACCCTGTGCCTTCCGATCGTCCAGATCTACCTCACCTCGTAGACTACCTCGACGTCCACTCTTATCCCATGATGCTGTCGAATAGATAATACAGCATCTCGCGTGGCGGGGGTCAGCCCAATGCAAGAAAGGTTTTGTGAAGCGATATGTCCTTGTGAGGAGGAAAGCTCGGTGTTTTGGAGCGACTTTGTGGTCGACCACAGTGAGCCTAACGGTCGTAGATCATTGTACTACATGAATTCAGGCTGAAAGTCAAGTGAGGTTCTGTGTAGCACATAGTAGTGAGCTGTCTCCAAATGCCAACGAGTAACCACCCGCTATGACTGGCAACAGACATCATAGTGTGACTGTGATTGGGCCCATTAGTATCATAGATCAAACCCTTCACTTGGTACTACCAGCCATCGGTCTAGATTGGCATCATCAGTTGTTTTAGTGGGTTTGTTTTGTTTTGTACAGTCGAACAGGATAACATTTCCCCCAAATATAGTAAAATAAGACAGAGTTGAAAGAGAATGGGGATAGTGGCAGCTGAATGGTTCAGCAACGCCTCCAATATGAATCAGCCCAAGGAACGTGACGGTTCGTGATGAACGGGACCCGTTGGCGAAACTAAGCCCAATGAGGACAAAAGTGAACGATGAGGTAGTACCAGTAAGAACGGGAGCTGAACAAACAGGGACCGTGCACAATACTGAGCCTGTATTTGCTTCTTTTTTTCTCCTCAGATTTTTTTCGGACGAGACAAGTGCTTACAAAATGGGCAATGTAACCCTCAGCTGGAATATCACCGACGCATTGCCATAGAGTAATCTACTTTTCTCGCACGAATCGGGGACCTTCCCAAGACATGAAATTTTACTCTCGGGAAAATCCTCCTGGTACCATGGGACCCAGATCGGACAAACGGCGTTCATCCACTTTTTCGCAACCCTCGGGGATCACCCTTGCTTGTAGGGCCCACCGATCGGCAGCCTGAGGCTACGAGTAGTACCTACTCAGTACCAAGTTAGTAATAGTAGTCAAATCACTGCTGCAAATGCAACACTGACGATCCAAACAATAGTCCGTCCACGAGTCGGCGACTTTTCTCTTGTCATCCCCTGCCACATTCCATTAACCACTGCACCTGACTGGTTTCTTGTTGGTTGGACACCGACAGGGATCCTGTCATGCTTCGCCAACGCTCAAGTATTTCAATTTATTATAAATCTACCCAGCCTCGCCCACAATCGGTCCATGCACTGTGTTTCTGTGGTAAAACTCCACCTTTCGATCACAACCGTTGTGCGCTATGGAGCCCGACCAAGCCAGCCCTCCAGATACCCTTGATCTTGAACGAAATGACAATCAGTTTTTGATGAACAACACCGTTCAATCCTTCACGTGGGATAATCTGACCGTGACGGTAAAGGATAGACGCACAAAAGAACCTCGGAATCTGATCGAGGGGTGCAGCGGAACAGCCCACCATGGTATAGCATTGCAAAATAATACATGACGTCGAACAAAGTACTAACCAGAAACAGGGCAGCTGATTGCGCTGATGGGCCCCTCTGGCTGCGGGAAAACAACTCTATTAAACGTTCTTGCGCGTCGCACAGCTTCCGCCGGTGCGAAAAATACGGGGGAGTGCTACGTAAATGGAGCAAAGCTGGACAATGGCACCTTCAACCGGATCACATCCTACGTCGAACAGGAGGATGCCTTGATCGGATCCCTGACGGTGCGGGAGACACTGAAATTTGCCGCGGATCTGTCTCTGCCGGGGTATGGACTCCTTCGACCTTTATCACTTTGTCGGAGTATTCATGGGCTGACACAATCTAGATCGGTGACACGATCACAAAGGGCAGAGCGTATCCAGACCCTGCTGAGCGCATTCGGAATCCAGAACCAGGCCTCGACTCTGGTGGGCACGCCAATCCGGAAGGGAATCAGTGGAGGTCAGAAGCGACGGGTCAGCGTCGCCAGTCAGCTTATCACATGTCCCAAGATCTTGTTCCTCGATGAGCCAACAAGCGGATTGGATTCCACTGCTAGCTACGAGGTCATTTCGTACGTGAAAAAGCTTGCGGTAGCAAATAATGTACGTCGTCCTGGGGAGGGGGTTAGGAGCATACCACAGACGACTAACACATCACATTAAAGCTTATCATAATTGCCAGTATCCACCAGCCATCGACAACAACCTTCCAGCTGTTTGACAATCTCCTCCTACTTTCGGGCGGAAAGACATGTTACTTCGGACCCATTTCCGAGGTACCAAGCTACTTCAATAACATTGGATGTCCGATTCCCTCCAATACAAATCCGGCCGAGTACCTCTTGGATGCGGTTAGTTCTGACTTCACAGTCCACGAGGACCAAGTCGGGAAGATCCAAACCGCATGGGCACAGTCCGCCGAGTATGCTGCATTGAGCAAACAACCACAGAGCGCCAACGAGAAGAACGGCAATATAATGAACATCGACGAACTAAGCCGCCCAGGTATTCCCCGAATTACCATGTCTCTTCTCCATCGGCTCTTCATCAAAAGCTATCGCGACGTTGTAGCCTATGGTATTCGGATTGTTATGTATTTAGGTACAGGCTCCCCATCCCTGTCTTAATCTCACAAAACTAATATGATCTGTAGGACTGGCAATCATGATGGGGACGGTATGGCTTCGCCTCCACACCTCCCAGGAGTACATCCAACCATTCATCAATGCGATTGTGAGCTTCTTATCTTTCTTCCTTCTGTACTATATCCTAACGAGAATCAGTTCTTCGGCTCAGCCTTCATGAGCTTTATGGCTGTCGCTTATGTCCCATCCTTCCTCGAGGACCGGGCAACCTTTACCAAGGAACGAGCAAACGGACTCTACGGCGCGCTTCCCTTCGTAATCTCCAACTTCATCATCGGCCTGCCGTACCTATGTATGTCCCTCCCGAAACTGTCAAATTACTGATTGGACTAAGCTAACAATGCCCTAAAAAGTCATCATTTCCGTCCTCTTTTCCATAGTCAGCTACTGGCTCTCCAACTTCCGGCCCACAGGCGCGGCATTCTTCACCTGGGTGATGTGGCTCTTCCTGGACCTCGTTGCCGCCGAGTCTCTAGTCGTCTTCGTAACAGCCATCTTCCCGAATTTTGTGATCAGCCTGGCGCTCGTTGCATTTGCCAACGGGCTCTGGATGAGCGTGGGCGGGTTCCTCGTTTCGCCGACCATCTTGAATCCATTCTGGAAATATGTTTTCCACTACATTGATTACCAGGTACCTTACTCTTTTCTCAACTCTGAGTCGCTAAAAGTGTGTGACTGACTCGGGTGCAGGCGTATGTCTTTCAAGGAATGATGGTTAACGAGTTTAGCGAGAGGACATATTCGTGTGGCTCGGGGTGTCAATGTATGTATCAGACAGACCTGGCAGATCAGTGCATGATCCGAGGAACCGGGGTTCTGAAGGAATATGGATATGCCACGGGTCGTACAGGGAAGTGGGTAGGTATTCTGATAGGCATTATTGCCGTATACCGATTGTTTGGCTATATCGCCTTGGTGTTGAGGAGGACTTGAGTTGGGTCTTACCAACACGCAGACCAGGATGAGCCAACTGCATCGTATGTAATTCCGGAAGGCGTTAGTTTGCCACATACTAGGGCACTAGAACCCAATAATTAGATCATAGCGAACCAATACAATATTTGAGAAATATGGAGTTAAAATCCAAGCCGAAACGACGTGGTGGACTTGCTAGGTGGCTATCGACTGCTTCTGTATAACCGGTGAAAATACCAGCCGAGAGAAAACTCCATGATCCATGCATTGTGCAACGTTCTGTTGCTAAAGAGGACTATGTCTTCACTTTCAATTACATACAATCAGAAAACATGGAACATGTATAACATTCACATATATTCTACGGATCATTCTTCATTCCTCTCCATTCAGTGACACACCCCAAACCCAAATCACCATATGCCAAACAAACAACATAGCCCATGAAAAATCCAAACCCTCCTCACAACCCTCTCCGTCCAACTCAATGTTACCAACCATTGGTGGTAGGTTATACCGAGCGAAACCTCTTGGTGCGAGTACCAAGACCGGTGGACCGGATTGAAAGAACTGTTGCTGTATCTCCTTAACTCGTGAGGTCATGGTAACAGTGAATGCGAGTTGGAGGTGATATTTATATTTATATTTATGTTCTTCCCGCTTTCACTCGGTGTATCAGTAGCAAGTGAAAATCATTGATGTGATGCTTCTTCTGCTCTCAAGTTTCGCCGGAGACTGAATAGTGTTCTACCTTCAGTAGCGTCCTTACAATTGAGTCAATAGTAAACTCGGGTTTTTATTTGGTTAATTTTCGTCAATTCAAAAGGCGTATCTAAGTGTCCATATCATATTCCATTCATTGCCAAGGACTATGGCACCCTCCTAGAGGTAAAAGAATTCTCATGTCACCTTAAAGTGTATATCGGAACTCTGGGAGTCCTTCAATGACACATTTGCCCTTTGCTGCTCGTCTGTTCGAGATGTAGAAATAAAGGCTGAGCACACCCACTACCACTATTGACAAGATATTGCACCTTGGACAATTGTCAGTACAAGAGTAGGACAGATAAAAGAGTCCACTCACGCAATACAGGCATATATGCCGGGGAGGTAGCGGGGAGAATCTTGCGACCGAAACACCAGGGACCCAGCTACACCACCAGTACCGCCAAAGCTGACTATACTCGCGCTGCAAAAGGCGCGTTTCCACTGCCCACGAATGTTGTTTGCCTGATATGTCAGTGCGGCTGGGATGGTAGCATTGGATGCTGAAGTGACGAGAAATATCCCGAAGTACTGCACGCCAGGGATTTGGACCCAGCCGAGAATGGCTAAACCCACGATGCATTGAATACAGTTGTAGACAATCAATGGAGCGCGGATGTGGTATTTGTCACCAAGCCAGCCCTGAGCATACATGAAGATGCCGGCGAAGAAGTATGGTGGCGTTGTGAGGACTTGTGATGCTGCTTGGGGAAATTTGAGCTCACTTCGGAGAATGAGCGGAAGGAAGAACGTAATCGCATACGACACAACTGTGGCAGAACTATTGATAATGAGTGTCTTTCAGAGTGGTGGTTGGGTTTGCGAGCTCACAAGAAAATGAGGGCAAAGCCCCATACTTTAAGGTCTAGAGCGGGTTTTAGAAATTCCTTTAGATTGAACGCGGCTTCGGAGGAGTCGCGCCTATCTCGGTTTAGTCGTCGGACGACGAATGCGGTTTCTTCTTTAGAAAGAAACTTCCAGGAGAGATTATTCTCGTTAGGGAAATTGACAATCAAAAAGAAGCCGACCGCTCCGACGAGACAGGTGAGGATCCCTTCCATAACAAAGATCCATCTCCATGCACTCAAATTACCTAGGCCATTTATGTGTATGAAGCCATACGAGAGGATTCCGGAGAAAGCTCCCCCAATGACGCTAATCAAATAGAAGGATGAATATCTCTTGTGTAAGTCATCTAGACACAGTGAGCCGCGATTATCCACAACCGACAAGGTCGAACACTCACATCGGGTATACCACATAGAAAGGAGATACACTGAGCCAGGAAAGAGCCCAGCTTCAAGGAACCCCAAGACTATGCGAAGCCCAACCAGCACCGTCCAGTTATGTATAAATCCAAATCCCTGGCTATGGTTAACCAGTCCTTCGCACGCAAGGCAGGGCTTCCTACCATCATAACAATTCCCCAGGAAAATGTGATTCCAGAAAGGAAGATCTTCGGCCCAACCTTTCGAATTACCGTAATAAGCGGGAACTGAAATAGGACATAGGGAATGAAAAAGGTCAGGAGCGTGATGGACTACTGACAATTAGCATCTGTATTGGGTAGAAAGACATGTGTCTCACTCACGTAGCGAGAACCAATATAGAGATGAAGCTCCTCTTCCATGCTTTGGTTTCATCAACATGATATTCATCCGGAATGCAATGTATGACAACTTACCCAGCAATCATAGCATTTCCCAAGTTGGTCCGATCCACCAAACTAACACACATGAGAAGCCCTAAGCCCGTGACTAGTCTTCGATCGATCTTGTGCAAGATTCTTCTCTGTTCCTTAAGTGGGTAGACCTCATCCCTATCCAAATCATCTTCTAGACTGTCTGTACCTGATAGAGTCCCACCCAGCTGCCTCTTCTCCTCCAGATATGTCTCAACTTTCGACATGGTGTCTGGTTTGTCGTCTTTGTTCCCGCTAGATTGACGCGGCCTTGGACATCTCGAGCCGCTGTCCCCTCAACCTTTTTATAACAATCCCTTTGCCTCGCCTCGGTTCAGCGTTCATACTTTCATGGCATTGTTAATCACATCATTCTAGGGTGATGTTGCACATCCAAAGCCGTCTCAAGTGCTTTGTGCGCAACCATTGGTCCCCGCTTAGTTGTAAATTTAGCGGTGGAGAAAGTGGGTACCATGGTTTGGTCGTTGATGGAGCTCTGTCTGCGCTTTAAACCATATTCGGCAAGTGAATCGTGAGGTTATCTAAGCATCCATCGAGGACCCTCTGTAGACTTTAAGGGCGCTTCTGGTCGAACCGAGGTTTGAGAGTGATTCACTTTCTAACTTCCTTTGTTTTCCGTTTCTTTTTACCCGCCAGAGCGAAATATATAATTGCTGCCTGCCGCCTAGTCGTGGAAGAGTAGCACCGAAACCAACCAACCAAACCACAGATTCCACGTATCATAAACATCCTCCATTATGACCTTCTCGCCATCGTTTGACGACAGAGCTGACTTTGAGAACGCCACACGAGGGTTTATCAATTCACTGAAACCATGTATCATACGAAATGCCAGTGGCCGCGTAGTGTGGAACAATGACGAATACGATTTTCTTCGCGACGCAGACTGCCCTGCAACGGCCGAGCCAAAGCTGTGGCGACAAGGCCAATTGAACTCAATCCAGGGCCTTTTCCTAGTGACTGATGGAATATACCAAATCCGAGGTTTCGATCTCTCAAACATGACCGTCGTTGAGGGAAATAAAGGTGTTATTGTGATTGATCCGCTGACGTCCGTCGAGTGTGCAGCGGCTGCACTAGCGCTTTACCGTGAACACCGGGGAGACCGGCCAGTAACTGGTTTGATCTACTCTCACTCACATGTAGATCATTTTGGCGGAGCTCAGGGTGTGCTGCCATCAGGCACGAATACATCGATACCTATTATCGCCCCGCAGGGATTCATGGCCGAAGCGACCAGTGAGAATATATACGTCGGCGACGCCATGCGCCGGCGTGCAGGCTATATGTATGGCATGCGATTACCGAAAGGGCCAGACGGTCACATTGGCTGTGGTCTTGGAATGATGCCCTCTAGTGGGACAATGTCATTGATTCCTCCAAACGTCTCTATCTGCCACACAGGCGAGGAACGCACGGTGGATGGCGTTCGGATTGAATTTCAAATGGTCCCTGAGACTGAAGCACCGGCAGAGATGAACTTCTATTTTCCCGACCACGAAGCACTTTGCATTGCTGAATGTGCGACACATTGCCTTCACAACATAATCACCCTTCGCGGGGCTCTGGTTCGTGACGCGAAGGCTTGGGCACGCTATCTCGATGAAACAGCAGTGCTATATGGACAAAAAGCCAATGTGCTGTTCGCTGGCCACAATTGGCCGACCTGGGACCAGGCCAAAATCGTCAAGTTCATATCGGAGCAACGAGACCTCTACACCTACCTTCATGATCAAACTGTGCGGATGATGAATCTCGGCCTGACGGGCATCGAGATTGCGGAAAGATTCTCCCTCCCGCCGGCATTGCAAATGGCATGGCATACACAGGGTTACTATGGCTCTGTTAGTCATAATGTCAAGGGCATCTACCAACGCTATTTGGGTTGGTTCGATGGGAACCCAGCACACCTATGGGAGTACCCAGCAGCTGAAGCTGGTCAAAGATACATTGATTGTATGGGAGGTCTGGACGAGATTGTTCGGAAGGCAAAGGAGTACGCTAGTAACGGCGATTCACGCTTCGCGGTGACATTATTGGGCCATGTCATAGCCGCTCATCCCGAGCACAAAGAGTCAAGACTTGAGCTGGCATCTGTATACAGGAAACTTGCATATGGCTGTGAAAATGCGACATGGCGCAACTTCTACCTTTCCGGTGCCCAGGATATGTGCTCTCCTGCAGTGCTAGATCGACTGGAACACCCGAAGCGTGAATACATGGCTGCACTATCAATGGAACAACTGCTTACTCTTCTGTCCGTTCAATTAGATGGACCCAAAGCTGCAGAAGAATCCTTCACGATAGACCTGCATCTGCATGATGAAAAGCAACGTTGGCGGTTAATTTTGAGCAACGGGGCGTTGACATATCGTATCACAACAGGTCAGGACAGGTCGATTGGCACATCCAGTTTGCGTTTAACCCTCACAAAGAACGAATTGGTGGAGATATTGAATGGGCGTGGAGGCATCCCAGATAACAGTTCAGAGGGTGACGTGAGCCTGCTCTTCAGGTTAATGAGATTGGTTGGGGCATCTGCACCCCAACAGAGCCATTTGTAGATATAGTCTTTCCCAAGAATATGTAATATTGTTACATTTCCGGGGGCCCTTAAAAGGCTGTTTGCTGGAAAGGGTGAAACGCTGTACATAGTCGATTATTATACGATAATGATCCACAGAGATGATGCGACATAGGGCATAGAATACCGCACCTCCTATAACAAGTATATTGAGCCCACTCTCTTAGAATATCCACAGACGAAAGAAGGGGCACTGCTGATTAGGGGACAGGGGCACACGTGTTTCGTAGAGTTCTGGCCATGAAATGGGCCTGCCCTATACCCATGTCATTCCCAATCGTCTCGAATCGTTCAACTACCCATTCCCGCAATGTAGAGCCTAAAGGGTTTGTATTGGCCGCCACGTATAGGGGCCATAAAATCGTAAATCCCCCAAGACAGTGGTCAAGCGAGGGAAAATTTGTGGCTCTGCTGTCTACAAGTTTAAGTGCGAAAGGAACGCTTTCTGCAATTTCTGTACTCAACTGGGCCACAGTTTCTCTTATCTGGACATTTTCTGCTTGATCACCTATCTCCGCACTGTTCAGCATCAATTGGTTGAGTAGTATGCGAGCGCTTCGATAAAAGTTCCAGATATTGCATGCCCAAAGATCAGGGTATATATGATATACGTGGGTATAGTAGAACTTTATATGAGACGGGCTCCTGTTGCGCACGGGAGGCCCTGGTACGGTCTGGTAGGCCCATCGAGGCGGAAGAGTCTGTCTCCACTGGCGAAGGTATCTGTCAATAGTTGCTGCCGAGGATACTATATCAGACGCCAAGTTCATTCGTGCTTGGGATAGCAGTCGGGCAACGTGGGCAACCAGATCAACCAGCTCATCCGCTTTCGCGTCCGCTACTGATCTCTCTGTCATAGCCTGGAGAGACCAGTGCACAATCGATGCCGGAATGGAAAGGCGCCAGTGCAAGCAGCTGGCTATCTAACTTGGGTGTCAGTTGTGATGGAGGTTCCCAAGACAGTTTTATTGGTGCTTACGATCTGCACTCGCAGGTGGGTGAACATTCTCATGCCAACGATCCATTTGATCTGCTCGGCCCCTCTCATTTCTATAAGGGCTGAGGCACCACGAATATGCTGGGCCCATGACTCTAAAGAGGAAGGAGTGTTGCAAGTCAGGACCTAGTGGAATCAATATGTTTACTCAAACTAAGGTAGCTCAGCTTACCTCAAACATGCCAAGAAGCATTGTAGCCGCTAGTGTAGCATCACTCTTGCGCTGAGCTTCATCTTTTAAAGCGCCGTTAATTAGATGCAGTGCTCGTGTATATTCCTCAGTTGCTTTACTCATCAAATCAGGGGACTTTTTGATATTAGACAGCCCTGCTAAGCCCACTGCGACCAGACTCTGCATGACTGACGGGCTGTTTGCTGCCAGCACTTCCATCTGGGAGGCACTCAAATAGATAGGGATATTGTGGCCATCTTCAAGAACGTAGTACCGGAAGAAAAAGCCGACCGACTCAGCGGAGGTGGACGATGACAGGGATGCAGGGAGAGATTGTAGAGACTGAGCAACAACCGCGGCTTTGAAGGCTTGGCGACTTTGTGGCCCGGTTTCCTTTGCCAAACCGACTTGTCGCTCAGTACTGTACTGAGCTGATCGCACCCGGAACCTGACTTTCTCGTTCTCATTGCGATAATGCAGTTGTTGCAGATCGCGGTAGCCTGGACAAGAGAAGAATGCTCGCACACATTGCGAACATGTTGGTTCTGCTCGATCACACTGTTGGCCAATGCTTAGCAAAGACTTCAATATAGAGTGAAACGGCAAGAGCATACTTTAATTCTGCGGGTGCGACAATTGCCACACCCTTTGCTGATACGAGGTTGATAGACCATTACAGACAGTGTCGAGAATGCTAAGCTTCCCCGGCCCTCTGCGGCCTGAGGGGCAACAAAGGTCTCGTGCGGGCCGAGGCTCCACTCCTAACTAACCGAAGGCGGTTTAGTGGGATATATCCATCTTCGGACGTAGTACTCCGGAGGACGCAGTAATTTAGGACCCACTTTCGGATGCCGCCATAGTGATTTATTAAGTGACGCGTCCCTGGGCCTGTTTTTTTATCCAAACACAGCTTTCTGGGGTTAGGGATTTGGCTCCTGCCTGCCTACCTGCCTACCTATTGAGGGGCTCCAGAGCCATGGTATTCCATCCGGTTGAATTAAGGATTCAAGCTCTAACGCCCCTAGCCTGGGGAGTCCTTCAAAAAGAGATTGCTGCATCTCTAGGACTTTCCCCGCGGACTATGCAGGATATCTTTAAACGTACAAAGGCCAGAGGATTCGACCCTGCCCAGGATATGAGGATCAGAATGGAATACGTTGAAGACGCTAAACGATCTGGCCGGCGAAAGAAGAACCCTGAAGGAGTCGAGAACTCTGTGATTCAATCCGTTTCCTAGGATCGAGTCGGTAGAGAGAAATCATCCGAGATCTTAGCTTATGAGGCTGTCATCTCCATGGATCTTTAAATAGGTATAGTTATATTTGGCCAAAAGAACAGTCCCCAGCCACGACAACAATAGAACAAATGCATCCCCTCTTACCCATGAAAAATCCTTAAACAGTCTAACCTAGCCGTCGCTTACATTATTCGCAGCATAGAATACCCGATTAACAGCAGGAAGTCCCACCATGCTTGCATCGCGAGAAACATAATAATCCAGTTGGGTTGTTTTGTGCCGGGGAAGACTTGTTTGTATTCGAACCAAATGACTGCGTGTGCGACCACTAACACTACCTTTCCAACGACTGAGATCCATATGACAAGTTTCCGCTGGAAAAGAGAAAGGTCGTCCTGGTCATAGAGGATGGAGACTAGGTAGCCGATCCACGAACAGAAAGAAAGGATCAGGGATAACGATGCAAAGTAAGGGAGCAAAGGAGCTGCCTCCAGTGGGGCCTGTGAATATAATCAGAGAGGTCAGGACTGTCAGATGGAGATGAGAAAAATTACCCGGTCCGGGGCTGTATAGCTCTTGTAGGCCCAGTATGTAGAGGCTATCACGGCGCCGGCAAAGAACAGGGCGCTGAGAAGTTGAATTGGAGGAAGTGGCGGGGTTGTGTTGGCCCTTCTACTGCCTTGCCTGTATCGGTAGGGACGTCGGTCTCGTTCGTTCTCCAGAATGGAGGAGTAAGAGGGTAGAAGTGGCTCGGTTGACATTATTGGCGGAGTGACTGTCAATCTAGCCGAAGGTCGAGGGCTTATGGACAGGATTCAGCGAGCTGGTGATGGCTGTTTGGAATGGGTTCACGGTCGGGCTGCGAGGCGTTGCAGCACGTGATGGCGACACTGCATCCAGGCCATTCCGGTCATTCATCGCGGTCGTTGGAAGAACAAGAGGAAAGAAAGTACTAGTATATACTATATTCTCTTGGAGTTGTGTATCAATATTGGATATAAGATACCATTTATTACGGCAGTCCCCGCAACTACTAACCCCGTCGTTTATCATGAAGATATCTTCTAGAGAGCTCCATCCCTGAGGAGGTATCCCTGAGAATATCTTCTGTCAAATTAATTAACCTCCCAACAAACGGCTTCTTTGGTGCTTCTGCTTGGATCATACTATAAACGAGTCAAGTAATCCTCGGAAGAGGTCTCTCCATCACTGACGAATGAAATTCAGCTGTGCGTTATTATTTGAGTCGTATTGTGTCAATAATTTGAGCTCCGCTCTTGCACTATGGGTCTTGAAATTATTCTATGCATCTCTTCTCATTCGAGGCGCTTACACCAAGTACTTGGTACATGCGGGCTCTACGGGAGACGGGGAGGCATCGGCCCGTATCATTTTATATAAACGGGAAGACAGCTGAGTTCGGGTCGATCAATCCTGTGGGAAGTGGATCCCCGAAAAGGATCATTCCACTGGCGCCCATATATTTCAATTCTCAACTGGGATTTATTATGTATGCGCTGTCCTTGGTCGCTGTGGTATATGGAGCAAGCGGACTACCTGTGCATATCTGAATTATGCGAGGCCAAGACAAAACCTGCTTCGCAGTTATAGGGAGGGTGATTCAGAAGAGCTTGCTAGGGTGCCGGAGAAGTACGACCCATCTGGTGTTTTTCAGACACAGGATCCGGGTAGATTTAAGATTAGCCAGGCTTGGATATATACATATGGGCAGTTTGATTCATCTGGTTTACGAGTGCATGTTATGGTGAATGTTTGGACATTTCATTCAACAAATAGCATAATACCTGTATGTAGTAGTTGCAATATGAAAGAGACAAGATGACATTTTACGGAATGAGGGTGTACACATTTTACGAAGCAATTTGATTGACAACAGTCGAGTTGAAAAGGTCTGTGCAGCAAAGCTGGGCTTGTATGCACAGAAGCATTGTGGCAGAGATGGTCGCCCTATCAACAAATAAAAGCAGGCAAGAGCATATGGGTATAGACGAAATAGGTATCATTGAACCGTCATTGCAGAAAGGGAATATATACATCGCTAAATGGTAGTCAAAACATCGTATATCAGTAGAAGCCAAATATCCACCCAGCCCACGGTGGATAGATACTTAACAAGCATCTTTTTTTTTTTTGTTTCTTTTCTCACCTTTTGCTCTTTCATTTCATTCTTCTTTGAGTTTATTATCTCTCGCGATTCATAATCCGAATATCCGTCCGGATCTTGATTCCACCTAGCGGGATATTGGCGTCATCTTCATGCACACTCATTGTTCTGGCAGTCTCGACGTCCGAGACGAGATGGTCGTCGCTGTCCCTATCACCATAGATGCGTGTTGGCCGTTCCTTGGTGGGTTTAATGATAGTGGTGTTTCCGTAGCTCCCCCGCTTCCCACTGCTCCCATTGCTGGACCCCCAGGAACTCCCATTCGGTCGAATAATGGCTTTCACAAGGGCGATGCCACTCGGAACACTAATTGAGACAATGGAAATCGAGCCCTCCAAGATGGACCAGTAGAGGTATAGCGGGAACTCCCATGTCAAATCGTTTGGCATGATCGGGACGATATTGACCACAGCGACAAGACGGCCCAGGGACAGGACGATGACGGAGTAAGTCATGAAAAAGCAGATGAGGAGATAAATGCGGCGGCGGAGGCTCATTTTCAGGGACCAGATCATTGGGATCGGGAGGATGAGGATGTAGAAGTCGATGACGGTGGAGAGGATCGCGGTTGATAGATACCAGTCGTATTGCTTAATGCATGTTCCTGGTAGAGTGGTGTCCCATGCCTTGGCGATGGGGTTGCATTGGAAGATGGTTGAGATTTCGGCGGAGATGAGCCAGCCAGAAACGAGGGCACCGATGATCCAGAGGTTTATGCGGAAGGCGCGGTTGTTGGAGCGGAAGACGCGCGCGTAGAAGAAGACCGCGGAGATCTTGGGGAGGCAGACTGAGGCGTCGAAGAAGAAGATCGCGATGAAGAGGTATTTGGATCCGGTGATTAGGTATTCTGGATTAATAGACGCCACCACGGACATGTGGTAACCCAGGCCGATGTTTCTCCATACTAGGACCAGGGATAGCACGACTAGTTCGCAGACCTGTGGATGGGAAGCTTAGTTTCCTGATCTTTATTTCGGGTTTGATATGTACTTTGTGCCAGTGAGGGGACTTACCACAGAGAGGATTGCGAACAGGTCATCCCACCACCAGTTTTGGTGCGCAACAACCTTGCTCATAATACGAGTGACGGTAGCCAGGATTATCAGGACCATAAGGATGATGCTCAATATCGCAACGCCTTGCCCACGGTCGGGCGTGCTATCCGGTACATCTAGGGCCATGTTGGTTGTCGTGCTCGTCCAGGGTTGTAAGAAGGGAAGCGGCGCGGAAGCAAAACGAAGGTGGATGAAAAAGCAAAGCAGACGGATCTTACAGGCTTGAAGATAAGCCGGTCAGCTTGCCATGCACTGGCATTTACGGAGGAGTGAGTCGTCATGCATGGCTGTCCTTGCTTAACCTGCAGAATCAGCCCCCATTGGGCTATATTGCGCCTCACCTGGCCCCTCCATTGCTTCTGACGAGGGAGGGGTAGGAATGGAGAGAGTGTGAGCAAATGAGAGTTAATTAGTTGTCCTGTCAGCGTCTCATTGCTTATGCCCCTTGCGGTGGGGGCGATTATCTTGATAAATCCAGCCTTGTGATAGCCGTGGGTCGGCTTACGGCCTGCCTTTAGGGTTAGTTAGCATTTCCTCCGCCATTATTCGCATTCCTCACCTCAGTACTATTTCCACTGATTGGAAGATCCCTGTTCTATTTTAAAACTCTTCGCAATTAAGTTTTGGAGTTGGGAATGAAGATAAAACTCATGATATCTAAATTTACCAACTAGATCACCGCTGATTTAAGCTGTAATACTGACTCCAATCCGGAATACTCCGTACTAACAGAGCAAAATCTGATTAATAGCAGCTAAATCAATTGGCTATGCTTTCCTCTCTTACGTTTGTATGCTATTTAATCATGATATATATTTTCCTCTTGCTTGCCAACCCTACAAATCCATATAGATCATGTGAAATGGTTTGTTTAGATTTCGTAAAATACTGTAACGGCCGCTTGCTGTATAGATACTCCAGGACAATTTGAATTCAGAATTATATGACCTTTTGGTCCTGTGGAATGCAGTGGCATCAATTTAACATAGTTTTATAGTCTATAAACTATATCAGTATCAGTTTCTATATAAATTGTTGAGTTATTAAAGCGTAAAATTCAAAAGAAAACCCTTTTTAAAGCTATCTTAGACCAGTTTGTATACACAAGTCTGCAAGTTTAAATGATGCTCGCAGCTGTTTCCTAGAATAGACTAGTGCCAATACAAGTTCAGCGGAACGGCTGAGAGACAATCAGAGAACCAGGATGCACTACCGAGTATGGGCGGAGATCACAGCACGGCCCCTTGTGGGGTCTCAGGAACACAAAGGGAAAGTATACATTAAATGGGGGCAAAGCCAAGTCTGCCTAGATAAACTGCCTAGCAATGCTCGGGGAGGATTTAAGACTGTCACGATCCTAATGCATCACCCGCCATATCTCTGTCCATTTTTCACGTCATCCTAGGCCTCAAATTCTGCTATCCCATTCTATTTCACAAACAAGGAGTACCGAGCAGTCATGAGTTGGGCAAAAGTATCAGAGCGCCGCTGGGAGCGCCCTGTCACCGGAATGGAGGGTTATTTTGTCTATACGGGGTCAATGTCAGCTGCCCACTGCGATGGCCGCCACCAGTACACCATCTTCTCTAAGCTGAGGGTTGATCTCGATATTAACCCAGCTGACATCGAATCTGCGTTAAAGCGCGCCTGGAAGCAGTTACGGTCTGAACAGCCCCAGATCGCTACCGTAGTTGATGGCACGACGATGGTCTATGAGGTTCCCGATGAGGCAGCTTTGCAGAACTGGCTTGCCTCGACCTTTGTTATCTCATCGGCTGCAGATGCAGAGGAGTTATGCCGCAATGTTGAGCCGATCAAGCAAGTTACGCTGTACTATATTCCGAAGTCATCGGAGCTTGTATTGCGCGCTCAGCATTACACAATTGATGGGACCGGTACACTATTGCTCTGGGACCGCTATCTAACAGCCTTGACAACTCCAGTCGAGGTTACATTCGGTGACGAACATACCAGATTGGCACCCTCCATTGAGGAAGTGCTCAAAGTATCTGAGCCGACGCCAGAGGAGACTGAGAAAGCAACAGCTCTCCTCATGGGGTATGCGACCAAAGCTCCGGGCGTTGGCCCAGTGTCTAAAGTTGGCACCGTACCTGCCGGCCGGTCCCAGAATGTCGAAATGACATTCCCCACGCGGACAACAGAAGCAATTATCAAGATATGCAAAGAAAAAGGCATCAGCGTTACCTCTGCCGTACACGCAGCGTACATCCAGGCGATTATCAAACATGCTAATCCCAATGGCACTTTATCCCACTATGCAAACTTAGGGCTGTTCAACCTGCGACCATATCTCCCAAAACCCTACAACACGAACGAGTACGCGGCTTCGGTTTACTACACACCTCTTCCGTTAAACATGGACCTACCTTCGCAATTCTGGGAGACAGCCCGCACACTGGATAATTATTATGGTACCAGTGTTAAAAATGACCCTGAGATCCTGCCCTTGCACGCACACATGACACGCGTCCTCTGCCAAGCTATTCAGATGCCCGAGTACCAGGGGGGCCCCATTCCTGGAGATGCACAGGTCAGCAGCCTGGGCATCGTCGAGCGGTATATACAGCACACATATGGCAGCACGGCCAAGGTTCTGGACGTGAAGCTGGGCGTCGAGATTGTTCTCGGCATGACCATGTTTTTCATATACACGTTCCGCGACCAGCTGCGGCTCGTGTACAGCTTCAACGATGGGTATGAGGAACCAGCACACATTAGCATGTACCTGGAGGAGGTTCAGAAAGTTTTAACCGAGGAATTATTGGCGTGATGAGGATCTCAAATAGGGTTCTAGCTCACGTAGATACACGTAGGTACATGGGAAAACGGTCCTATGGTTGCATACCTACAGCCAATTCAATGTTTTTATTATATCATTGACGAATGAAAATTCCTTGTTTGTTTCTTTTTTCTTTTATTTCTTATCTAAAGCCTTGGCTACTGTAACCGCCGAGGTACATACATCATCTTATTTACAGGGGTTTGAGAATGATACAGGCTTATATGAGTCAGATTGCTGACATTACTCGACCCCGCCCTTTGATGTGCGTGAAGACCTTGCGTTCAGTGGTTATGCGAACGGTATGTAATGAGCTAAGGTTTCATGTGCGTAATCTGGCTCGATGCTGTTGCTCTACCAGGTTACTACCCTTGTATGTAGTTATATTTTTTTGTACTTAAATGACATAAGACATACGATTATTCGTACCTCTCACGTAATTTCAATGGCTTGAATTATCGAAGATATTGCGAGTAAGAACAGTTTCTCTTTCAGTGCTAGATGTAGCCACTATAGTGCTATATAAAGGTATCATACGGTTCATTGTGCAGGGCAAGGGCAAGTAGGCTGTGTACTCTGAGCATGCGGAGTTCTGCAAGGGGCTGCCTTAGTGTTCTGGCCCCCACCCTCAGCCGTTCAGGGTGGGGGCTGAAGACTCCCGAGTCCCGAGTTTAAGCTGCCGATCTGTCAGCGCATGCACTGTGTAAGCGCCCATATCTGCCTCGCCGTTTCTCAAATTCTCAGCTTCCTCATCTGGAGCGCCATCTTTCGTCATATTTGGAATTGCCGAGTTGGGTGCACCGGTCCACTGCAAGAATGGCGGTTGTCATGTGCATCTATAATATGACTATACGCGCACTCGCAGACAGGGCTAAAAACACTAGGCATATAACCCTGGGACATTACACAGAAAGTATCTCATCCAAGATCACACAATACAGTTGAAGATGCAGTTACTCCAAAACCAAGTGACCCCTTTAGAGAATGGCCACACGAAGCCGGCTGTGTCGAATAACAAATCGATTGCTATTGTTGGCATTGGTAAGTATTCTTTTATGATCACGATGACAACTATTGACGAGTATACTCCAGGCTGCCGCTTTCCTGGCGATATTTCCAGTCCATCCGAGCTATGGGATTTTCTAGCGGAAGAACGTTCAGCAGCCGGCAAGGTACCCAAGTCACGGTTTAACGTTGCCAGCTTTCACGGGAGCAAGGATGAACCGTCGACTACAGTAGCGTTAGGCGGGTGCTTCCTGCAGGAAGACATTCGGAACTTTGACAACCAGTTCTTTGGCATTCACAACCGAGAGGCTGCAGATATGGACCCGCAACAGCGGAAGCTGCTTGAGGTTGTGTTCGAAAGCTTTGAAAGCGCTGGCGTTACCTTGGACGATGTGTCAGGTGCGAATGTGGGATGTTATGGTGCGTGGCCAGCCAGTTGGATCCCCGTCAATTAATTGGCCGACTGACAAGACCAAAGTCGCTTCATTCACGCCGGACTTCATCGCTATGCAGACCAAGGATGTGGAGAACATGACCAGGTTCACTCACCTGGGTATGGGACCAACCCTTCTCGGAAATAGGATCAGCCATGTTTTCAACATGAAAGGACCGAGTTGCGTGGTGGACACTGCATGCTCCTCATCCTTCTATGCATTACATATGGCTTGCTCTGCATTGGAAAACGGCGAATGTGATGCCGCCGTCGTGGCCGGTGTTAACCTCATTCAGACTCCAGAGGTGCACGTTGGGACCTCACTGGGTGGAGTGCTTTCACCGGCTTCAAAGTGCCAAACGTTCGATTCTTCCGCTGATGGGTGAGTTAAGTTCTTTCACTCTCCTCTGTCCGGTACTGCCCAACGGACAAACCTGGTTGACAAATCTATGCTGGGGCCAGCTACGCTCGAGCTGACGGCGTCGGTGCGCTCTATATCAAGCGACTGGACGATGCCATCCGTGACAAAGATGCGATTCGTTCCATAATCCGCTCAACTGCAGTAAACAGCAATGGCAGAACACCGGGCATCTCGCAGCCCAGTGTCGACGGGCAGGAAGCAGTTATTCGCAAGGCCTATGCTCGTGCCGGACTTAATCCAGCAGATACTGCCTACGTCGAAGTTCATGGTACTGGCACAAGTGTCGGAGACCCGATTGAAGTTGAAGGTCTTTCTCGTGTCTTTCAGAAAGATCAACGCCACCGCCCGATGCTAATCGGTGGTGTGAAATCGAACCTGGGACACGGAGAAGCCTCGAGTGGTTTGCTCAGCATCATGAAAGCGAGTCTATCTCTGGAGCGGTGTCAGATTCCCGCTACCATCAGCGTAAAGCAGATGAATCCCAAAATCAAAACAGAGGAATGGGGGGTAGAAGTTGTCACTCGCATGACGGACTTTCCATCAGAAAGTGGCTCACGTCGCATCAGCATTAATTCCTTCGGCTTCGGCGGCGCCAACGCTCACGGAATTCTGGAAGAGGCTGGTCGTCAAACCAACAACGTGTCTTGCAGACAGCCCATGCAGAGGAGTGGTGATGTAACAGGCTCAATGGATGGTCAGCCTAATAGTCACGCCAGTAATGGAATTAATGAAGTCAACGGGCATAGTGTGCCCCCTTCGATGCCATACTTGCTCCCATTGTCTGCAAACAAGCTAGCATCTCTGCAAGGGAGAGTCGAGAGACTGTCTGAATTGAATCTCTCAGCCGTCTCGGTTGCTGATCTTGCCTACACTCTCGGGCAACGGCGATCGCATCTTGGTCTCCGTGGCTTTGTCATTGCCCGACAGGCAACCCTTGCACAAGATATCCACGTCGACAACCTGACACTAGCCAACTCAGATAATAACATGGCAGATAGCAAGTTCGCATTTGTTTTCACTGGACAGGGTGCTCAGTGGAAGGGAATGGCCCGCGAGCTGTTGCATTTCCCGGTCTTCGCAAATACCATTCAGCAGCTCGATCACGAACTGAGCATCCTGCCCCATGCCCCTAGATGGAAGATTTGCGATATTCTAATGGATAGCTCAGAGGCTCGTCCCTTGAACCTGGCAGCCTTCGCGCAACCTATCACCACTGCTGTCCAGATTGGTCTGGTCAACGTCTTGCGCTCTTGGTCTATCCTTCCACAGGGCGTCATTGGACACTCGTCGGGTGAGATTGCGGCTGCATATGCAGCAGGCCTGCTGACAGCTCGCGAGGCTATCGTCATCGCATATTACAGAGGGTACTCAGTGACAGCATCAGCACCTGAAGGCGCAATGGCTGCTGTGGGCTTGCACTCCGATGATGCACTTGAGTGGATCACTAGGCTTGGCTTCAATGCAAATGTCAAGGTCGCATGCATAAACTCACCGCAAAGCGTGACAATAAGTGGGGATAGCGAATCCATTAATAGCATATTAGCATCACTACAGGATGAAGGTGTGTTTGCTCGTAAGCTGAAGACTGATGGCAAGGCTTATCACTCCCACCATATGGCTGCCATTGGTGCCATGTACGAGGAGCTGCTCAAGGGGGCATTGACCTTTGGGGCGCAGGATATCCCTGATTTGAAGCTGCATGACATCCACATGTACTCCACTGTCATGTGCCAAGAGGTCCAAGGGAAGAATGTCCGTACGGCAGCGTACTGGCGTGCAAATCTGGAATCGCCAGTCCGTTTCAGCGAAGGCCTTGCGTCCCTGTCTGAGATGATGGGCCACTGTACGTTCGCTGAGCTCGGACCACATGCGGCCCTGAAGATGCCCATCATGCAGACCCTTGGAAAGTCTACATCCTACCTTGCCACCCTTAGCCGAGGTCAAGATTCTTCGGTCTCTTTGCTCGGTTTTATTGGTCAGCTTTTCGTGCAGGGTTTCAGAGTGGACTTCTCAAAGCTCGATCATACCTACGGCCGTAGCATACCTAGGTACATCTATGACTTACCGACATATCCATGGCATTATGAACAAACACCATGGAATGAATCTCGGGTTAGCCGTGAATGGCGCAACACCACACACCCCAGACACGAGCTCTTGGGTAGAGAGGTACCAGGCGGAAACCAGACCACGTTTGGATGGCGGAACCTCTTGCAGCTTGAAAATGTCCCATGGCTACGTGACCATAGGCTGGGTGATACTGTCATCTTTCCGGCCACCGGATATATATCCATGGCTGTGGAGGCGCTGATGCAAAAGGTTTTACCTGTTGGTGCGGACGGTGCGGGCGAGTCCGTAGTGCTCCGGCATGTCGACTTACTGAAGGCTCTACCATTACCGGAGCAGGGGTCGATCGAGCTCTATACGGAGCTCCGTCCGCTCCCAATCTCAAATATTAGAGAGTCGAAGGTCTGGTGGGAATTCCAGATCTCGTCCATCTCTGAGGACGGCCCCACAGTGCGGGCCAAGGGTTCGATAAGGCTAGAGCCCATAGCGACCAGCAGTACACAGCTTCCATCCAGAGACTGTCACCTGGCCCCCCAGTCTACGAAGCTGTGGTATGAGAGTATCGCCGATGCTGGTCTTGCATTTGGACCAACCTTCCAACACATGCATGACATCCAGACACCTGACCCCAAGGGTATATTGTATGCAGAAGCACGGACACGGACGCTTGCCCCCGCTGTTGGGGGAGCACAGTCCCACCCCCGATACCTCATACATCCTGTATTGCTGGACAACCTCTTCCAGGTCGCCCTTATTGCATGCACAGGTGGCCTAATCCACTCGATGGTTGGTAAAGTACCGACAAAGCTCGGAATTGTAAGGATCAGCCTGCCCTCTAGTCCCACTGACGAAGGCACAATTCGCTCTATGTCCAAGGTAACAGGCCAAGCCACCAATAAGATTGATAGCGCCTTGTTCAATAGTCAGCAGCAACTTGTGGCGCATTTCAAAGATGTAGACGTCACCGCATACATAGGAAACGAAAAGATGGAGGTGCGGCACCCCATAACACGAGTCACCTGGAAGCCCGACATTAGTCAAGTACACGACAATGCCACTTTTTCATCAGCACTCAATCACGTTCTTTTAAGATCTGATCTGGGGTCGTTCGGGTCCAAGGCCAACATGCTAGCAGCCCTTGACTTAATCGTGCATAAAAACCCAGATGCTCATATCCTATGCCTCTCGACCGACTTATCTCTCATCACGCTGGCGTTCTTGGAAGTGCTTGATGCATCCAGTATCTACAGGCGCTTCAATTCTTTTTCCATGGGGCGCCTGACCCCAGACGGTCAACTCGAGGCTGCTGAGGTCCACAAGTACATCGTTCCATTAGGGCTTCGATCATTGCAGTATCGGATTGCATCACCAGGCGACCACTTCAGTCTGGTAATTTTAGGAGACGATATCGCCATGGCGGATGAGCTAGGCTCCTACACAGATGATCAAACGGTCTTCCTTTCACCTGATGTCGGCAGCATCTTAAACTTCGATAGGCTTTCGGTCCTACGATCTCAATCGGAAACAGCCCACAATGTGCAGCTCCTCCGCGGAGCACCAGCTGTGAACAGTTGTTCTAGTCCAAATTTCGACCACGTTCTACATATCTGCCGGTCATCAATGCATCCTGCCGATGAACACTTAGCTAGCCATTTGAGCGATGATTTAGGCATGCCGATCAAGCAGGTCGCGTTAGCAGACCTAGTACACATACCAATTTCTCCAAACTCACTAGTCATCTCTACAGCTGAGCTGAAAAGGTCTATTCTTGCTGGTGGCGTCCTACAGGAGGAATTCGATGGCTTCAAACGAATGATCGAACACGCAGCATGGATTGTTTGGATTACAGGATCAGGAGTACACGAAGAATTTAATCCCACCCTTTCCCTGTTCGTGGGGTTTGCTCGTGCTGTAGTGATTGAGCAACCCTCAACCAAGATCTTTTCGCTAGAACTAGATCCAACAACTGACGCTGCAGTAATCTCACGGGATGTCGCGAGAATAGTTCGAAGTGGGAACGAATTGATCAACGATTGCGAGTATATTGACAATGGGTCCCATCTCCTGATCAGTCGTATAGTTCCCGACGAGCGTATGAACAGAGAGTTTCGTACACGGCAAGACGGGCTCGCATCACCTATGCCACTTGGGAGTGTTGGTAATGCTGCCTTGTCTGTGCAGAGGCCTGGACAGCTGAGCACAGTACAGTTCGTGAAACGACCTTATCCAGCCCTTTCGAAGCTGGCCGCCAATGAGGTGGTTGTCAAAGTCTCCTGTGTCGGCCTCAACGCGAAAGATGTTAACGCACTGGCAGGGCATGTCCAGACCACAGATGCACGGTGCAGCTTGGAATGCACAGGTCATATTCTTGCCATCGGCTCCGACGTCCGCGACCTTAGTATCGGTGATAAGGTCGCTGTCATGTATCCTGGTTACTTCAGCACGTACGAGACTGTTCCAGCCTGGAGCTGTGTTAAGCTCCACGATGGCGAGGACCTGCACACCATGGCATCTGTCCTGATGGTCTTCTCGACAGCCGTGTATGCCCTTTATCACCGAGCCAATCTCCAACCAGGAGAGTCAATCCTAATCCACTCCGCTGCAGGTGGCGTCGGTATCGCCACAATACAACTAGCTAAACTAATAGGCGCAGAGATCTTCGCAACTGTTGGAACGGACGAGAAGAAGCAGTACTTAATTGACCACTTTGGCATCAAGTCGGACCATATCTTCAATTCTCGCGACTCAGGCTTCGCTTCTAACATCAAGACCATCACAAATGAGCGCGGAGTCGACGTCATCCTGAACTCGCTACTCGGCGAGCTCCTACACGAGAGCTGGGACTGCCTGGCAGACTTCGGCCGCTTTGTCGAAATTGGAAAACGGGATCTTCTTGACCAGGGCCGTCTGAATATGGAAAGATTCTCCCGAGGCACGACCTTCACGGCGTTCGATATAAGCATGTTGGCCGAGTCGGCATCTCCAGCACAGCATCACGTTTATAAAAGTTTAATCACTCGTGTCATCTCGCTCCTACGAAGCGGCGATATTCGTCCTATTGAGCCGCTCTCCGTATTCAACGTTTCAGAGCTCGTACCGGCCTTTAACCATTTCAACAACGCGAAGCGCATGGGCAAAATCGTTATATCCTTCGAGGACCAAACACAGATGGTACCTGTCGTGCGTGAGAAATTCTCGACACAGCTAGATCCCCAAAAGAGCTATCTACTAGTTGGTTGTCTCGGTGGTCTCGGCCGCAGTGTATCCAAATGGATGATGAGCCGCGGGGCACGCAAATTCGTCTTCCTTGGCCGCTCAGGTCTACAACGACCAGCCGCCCAGCGCCTCATCGACGAACTGGAGGCAGGAGGCGCACAATGCACCGTCATCAAAGGCGACATTACAAATTACGCAGACGTCCACAGCGCCGTGGCAGCCGCACCAACCCCTCTCGGAGGGGTCATCCAAGCAGCGATGGGTCTCAACGAGGCAATCTTCAAACACATGCCGCGCGACTACTGGCTCAATGGCACCGAAGCCAAAGTCCAAGGCACATGGAACCTGCACAACGCCCTCTCCGCGCTAGACAGGGAAAGGGAACTCGACTTCTTCGTCCTGACGAGCTCCATCTCCGGGAAACTGGGCACAGCCACCGAAAGCAACTACTGCGCCGCCAACAACTTCCTGGACACATTTGCGCGCTACCGTCGCGGACTGGGTTTGAAGGCTGTCTCCCTTGGCCTCGGAATGGTCTCCGAGGTGGGATACCTGCACGAGCACCCGGAAATCGAGGCCCTGCTTCTCCGTAAAGGTATCCGTCCTCTCACGGAAGATGAGCTGGTCCAGATCTTCGACTTTGGTCTCACTCAGCCTCCTACCTCGCTTCATCCTAATGATCTCATGCCCCAGTCGCATATTCTGACTGGGCTGGAGGATACGGGTCTGCAGGGCCACCGGAAACAGGGCTATGAGGGGTACTGGCAGTTCCTGAACGATGCGCGGTTCGATGTGTTGACGTGCGCGCTGAGGCGTAATGCGGGGAAGTCTGCTCAGGGCAACAGTACGCAGGCGTCGGTTATCCAGGAGGCAATCGCTTCGAATGATAAAGCGCAACTCACGGATGCGGTGAAGGTGGTTCTGGTGAAGAAGCTTTCTAACATCATCCTCACGCCAGTGGATAAGATCGATGCGAAGAAGCCTTTGTTGGATTTTGGTATGGATAGTATGCTGGCGGCGGAGCTCCGTCAATACATCTATGGTGCGATGGGGGTAGATGTGCCATTCCTAGATCTGATGGATAAGAGGACGAATATATTGGGTCTGGCAAGCCTGGTGGGTGACAAGTTGACTACCGCCAGCAAGTAGATCGATATATATAGACGGTGAATGAATACAATTCCATCGGTCAACTGAAGGCATTTCATATTTGAGTAAGCTAGGGTATCCCCGTGATTGGTGCGATCCATGTAGAGGGATCTATTTGTGTCAAAAAAACCATCACATTAAAACGCTGTGTGATACCCTATTCTATGATGGAATTAACCCTAGAGGTACAATAGTAGAAAGGGAAATACGGTATGGGAGGCACCATATTAAAAGACACGTAAAGATGAACCATAGCAAACTCACGATTGCCGTTACTATCGAATGAGACGGACAGAGCCTGCCCAACAGCAAAAGGGACAAGTAAAAGGAGAAAAGAAAAGCAAAGACCCAAACACATTCTTGATGGTGCCCCAAAGACCTTAGTTTGGATCTTCGTGGTATGCCTCTGTTGGCTGTTCCTGTCCATAAAAGATGACTTGTTCAGCTCCAGTCTGGCCCTTAATATCAGCAATCAAGCTGTCAATGTGGGTAAAAACGACAATCTGGCCCGACATTTGGGCACCAAAGGCCAGACCTGCTATGCAGCCACTCGTGTCGTACACAAGTGAGCCGGAGTCACCGGGTTCAAACGAGGTGATGTTTGGCTGATAAAGAATTGAATGTTCCTCTGTTGTCCGTATTGCGCCGGTTTTTGCAACCGTGAAAACTGTAGCTGCAAGTTCGTTATACTTTCCCCGGGTCACCCCTGTTTGGAACCCATATTTTGCAAGCTGCTGCTCGTTGGACAGCTCAATACCGGCTTGGATATATCCGGTACTTCCTATAGGTTGATACCTTCCGAGAGCTTTGAATGACCGAAACTAGGGTTTACTTTAGCACTGCACAGGTGAGAAGAGCGTATCATAGCCAACTATACCTCATTGAATGGAAATGCGCGACTTGGATGGGGTTTCAGGAGTGCCCAGTCCATAATTGTCGTCGTGCTTCGAGTATCATCACCAGAGTCAGCCCAGACCTCGCCAAACTCATAGCTGTTTGCTCGTTTGTAGGCCTCTAGCTCTGCAAGATGGTTTTCTAGACGGCTAAGTCTCTCCCTCAGGCATTCCCACTTTTTTGCTAGATCCCCGTGGAGGTTCGCTTCCGCTTCCATCTCCTCCAGAGCGCGGAACGTCTCCATGTTTCTCGTCTGATCGATCCTGTCTGTATAGTAGTCAATGAAGTATTGCACTGTACTGAGACTTGGACAGTCCACCTTTCCTTGTGAGGGGGGCTCAGTAGCATCAGGAGTTGAATTGTTGGGATCCTCTGCCATCGCTTCCATATGGTTTAGCGCTTCATCCTTCTTCTCGAAGATACGAAGGCCTTTGAAGGCGTGACCAAGCACGCAATAGCGGCAGGTCACACCAAATTACTACCATTCAGAGCCAGACTTCTATTGTAGATCGAGCCACCCACCGAAGGTACCATAACGCTCGCTATTGTGAGCACCCAAGTCACTTCCAATGGTCACCGCCATGGGGCATTCGTCTTCAACAGGAGGAGGTATAGGGCAGATACTTTGCCCTCCGGCCGATGATCGGCTGGCACAGAAAATATCACGATCCTTGAAGATGCGCACATCGACCATATGAAGGTCAAAGCCATTCAGGATATCCCTGATATCCTGCTCAACGATGCTCCAGTCTCGCTTGTGTTTCGGGTCGACCGTGACTAGGACAGAAGGGGTGCTGTTCTCAGCATCACAATCATAACCGATCCGATAACACCCGAGAAGCTGAAACCCAGACACATCAACCACTTGCAAAATTCGATTGCGAACCGCGTCCCACTTTGGAAAGATTGCATCACTCGACTTGCACGGGTAGATGGGGGGGCCCTGCGCTAAACACCAATCAATAATATCCACCGTGATATTGTCAAGATCATGGTTGCGAAGAAGAGCCTGTATTTCTCGTGCTGCATGCTGCCAGTTCTCTCTAGTGTCGTTCTCTGGCCGGTGTGCCAGAACTTGTAATGCTTGAGTTGGCTCTGCTATGTCGTCGTAGCTTGGTGTGCATTCCACAAAGGATGTCGTCAAGAACCGTATGTTGCGATTATAGAGGATACGCTTAACATCGCCATGAGGGATATGCTCGTTTGGGAGGCTGCGGTAGTTATAGGGTGCCTCGCAGAGGTTTGGCCCGCCAGCCCTGAAGTATCTCGCGGTGGTGCTGTCTTGGAAAGCTCCTGACATGGTGCTAGGTACCGGGGTAATTTGATGAGGAGATGAGTGAGTGTGAATACGAACGAAGTTTTGCCCAGTTCCGGGCTCCTGGATGTCCTCAGTGTTGCCCACTGCGGCCAGAGGCGCGATATGGTTCACTTCTGTCATTTTGTCAACACAATATCCGCAGATTGCAATGCGAAATGTAAGATAAGATGGGAAGTTAAGAATGGAGGAGCATAACCCCCACTGGGCAAGATTAGACATATATGGAATGGACATACCTCTGCTCAGCGTCTAGATTCTGATAGCTCTAGAAAGGAAAAAAAAAATGATCTCTGCGGCAGGTTCACACAAGATGGGTGGAGTAGAAAGAAAGGCAAGAGCAAACGTTGCCTTCTATATACAGTGTGAACGAACGTTCCCATGATTATGCCCTATTCACAATGAGATAGGATACTACCGCGTCGATTCATCATCCTTGCCAGGTGTATTGACACAATGATTCAGAGATTGTTGAGCTTATACCCTGCTTAATCGATATGGAGACACAGCAGAGTGAATAAAGGAAACAAAGAAGTTCAAAGACCACATAATGGCTCACTGTTGCTCTCTGCTGTTATAAAGAACCAATCCTAGCAATATATCAATCTGCTGTTCTTGGAAACTGAAAGATATACTCTATGCTTTGTCTGTGACATGCTAAGATTCTTTTATATTCATTCATTCATCCACGACCCAGTCATCGATCCCACACTGCCACGACTTCCGTCCATCCGCCCATCGCTCAATGAGACAGTCAAACGTGCCACAGTGGGTCAGTAGGTTATGAGACATGATCTGATGAAAAAGGAGGATATGAGATCCTAGAGCAAAGGTGCGACAAACAATTCTAGCTATGCTGCGCAGCTGGATCAAAACTTTCAATATAGAAATAAATTCACAGAACATCTAATATGGAACATCTACAGGCATTGTGTGACGAACTATTGTCCGTAAAGTGTTGATACTTGTTTGCTATACCTGATATTCTGAGCACTGATCTGCGATGTCTCAATGTTTCTCACGGGTTGATTCTCTGCCATCTTAATCTACCATCAGGAAGCTGCATCATTACTGTACAAAAACTCATTACACAGCTCCCATACACTTTGCTTTATATCCGTTGTTGAAAACCACATCTCATGTTCCACAACATGGAACGTGGCAATGATGAGGATTAGAAGAAATAAAAGTATTGATTGCTTGACTATACACAATTAAATATTATATTCATTTAACAGGCATCCGACACAACCCGGACGCTCCAGTGATTAGGGGCGACCACTTCCCCATGGGGCTTGTGATCTCCACCGCACTTGTCCAAAAGGAACTGGGCGCCATCAGCAATAGTTCCAAAGGACTTGAGGTAGTGTTTTTCCGAATTCTATATGAAAAAGTCATTAGTAACGCTCGATGCAGCCCTCCAGTCGAGAAGGCAAGAAGCGAGAAATAGACTAACGGCGTTGCACCAATAGATGGCCATATTGTATGAGCAACTGACGCGACCACAGGTGCCAGCGGACTGTCCCGGGGTGCCTCCTATGCTGTTGAGGTAATCGATCCCATTCTGTAGGTCGCCACTATCACCGCGCTTGCGGGAATAATGCCAGCCGTCTTCTCCCCAGCAGTAGTATTTCTCATATTTAAAGTCTCGCTTCATCACACTGGATGACTCTTCTTCGCTGTGCTTGGCGGGGAAGTCGCTGTCGTAGTTGGGATTCAGCTGGAGGAGCTGTGCGTGCACTTCTTGCGCGGTGCCACTGAGGGTGACCCTGTCGCCGCCTGGAGTAACTTCCACCTCCCAAGTCGGGGCGGTTATGGGAAGCTTCTCGAAGGGGCTACCCGTAGCAGCTCCGTATACCTGAGAAAGGAACTCTGTGAGCTGAATGAAGATAGTTTAGATGATTGTGAATGGGTTCATACCTGGGTAGAGAGGGCACCAAGTGCGATCAGGATGGTGGTCCACTGCATTTTGAGAATGTAGGAAAGATAGCCTGTAGAAAAGTGTGTTTTGGTGGGTTGATTGAATTCAGTGCTTTTTCGGAGATAGAATCTTGAAGCCAGTGAGGTCGATGCCTCTTATATATCTTCGATTCTGCTATTGATGCCATCTTATCTTTCAACAAATATGCCAAGAAGACAAAATGCGGCGCAGTATAGCTGGTACGAGGTCAAAGTTGATATCGGTTGATTATACTGTAGTATCGATTCTGGGCTATGCAGGAGTGATTTGCTGTTTTCCTCCATCGCATGGTTGATTCTGGAGAGATATTCGGGGCCAAATCTTGCTTGGCAGGCTGGATGATATATTGCGGAGGACGTGTTTTTGTAGCATTTCTCCTTCTCGATAGGACCGTCGAACTTTATTCGATGGCGGATCATATCTCCAGGACGCCTGAAATCCATTACAGGTGATGATGTGCCGATCCTTTGTGGGGGTTGCCGATCTCTCCCGGACCTTCTAAATTTATAGGCCAGTTCATTTGCTACGTGGCTCAGGTACGGGCTGTGCTGTTGATGTATAAGAATATCTCCGATATGTCACGTTCCATATTCGAGATTCTAACCGAGGCCTTGAAATTGTGGCAGAAAATCAGGAAATACACCAGACTCAATGTAACCAAATCATCTTTTCGCCAATCCTTCCTAAGGGTGCAGGCTCTTTTGTCTCTTTTATTGTGTCTATCTGCGAGAAAGACTTCCTAGGTGGATGTACACTCACAATCAATGTTGCCTATCATGATACAAAATGCCCTTTCCAGCATTATTTATGTCCGCGATGACAGTAGCCTTGTTGCTCTGCAGTTTCAATTGGTTTCAAGAAGTATTGCCCTAAGCGCTGCTGAAGGAGAGTCTCCAGGGAATAGTACTTGAACAGCATTCATGAGATGACGCAGCTCCCTCACTGCCAATGTCCGCTAGAACAAATAAGGCTCCTTTCCATGCTGACCATGTAGACCTCAAATCGTGTTTAGCTCCTCCACCTGCGTGGCATCTTCAACAAAAACAGCGCCATACTCTCTCATAATCTGTATCTTCTGCTCCATATTCATTGCAAAACGGATCCTCCCAAAATCGTTTGGCAGTTGCTTGATACTTTTGAATCTCAACACCCACACACCTACTCCATCTGTGGGCCAACCGTATACCATTATCTTCTTTTGTTCCTTCGTTCCCTTCCTAAAACCCACCTGTACTTGGAGCCAATCTTGCTTATTTGGCCAGAACGTCGCACCGGTCCGTCGCAGAAGATTACAGAATCTGTCTTCTTCGTCGGTACTGGATGAGCGCTGCAATGCATGAGAGAGCGGGAGCGATAGAAAATGTATATCGAGAAGATCGGCTTCTTTGATAAGAACCCCGCCAGTGGAGGGGTAGCCAAAGACTGTGCATTTTCGAGTGCCGAAGACGGTCCGGTCAGTCGCCGACAGGGAAGGGTTTGTGATATATGGGATGAATTCCTGGTCTGATGGATCATCTAGGTCCGATGTGTCGTCTAGGTCCTGTGGGTCGTCCAGGTCCTGAGGGTCATCCATTGCTCCTCGTCGTTGAAAAATAAGGAAACGGTCAATGTTGATGGGAAGTACGCGGCCTATGGTTTGTCGGCAGAGACCTAATAAAATGGCGACGAGCATGCTGCTAAATCCCATATTTCAATGATAAGTCTATAAACAGGGAAAGAACGATGTCTAGTATCATGTCACACGACCTCGGAACTTGAGCTCATGAACGCGCTCTCAGGCGTTTTAATATGTAGGGAATTTGGGAGAAGCTGCCTTCAACATTACAAGTACAGTCTTAGTTCCTTGTATGGCCGTATACCGCTAACCCTTTGGGCACTAGCCTGAAGGTATTCCCAACGCTTTTGATCTAAAGTTTCAATTAGTTTGTGTATGGTATGGTTAGAGTTACGTCACATGGCGGTTATCTTCTCTGTACACCAGAGACTGTTGTCTACATACCTCCTAACACTAAACACTAAACGATCCACGATGTCCTCCTTCCCCCTCTAAGGTCTTCGCGCGGCTTCCAAATGTCAGCCGTACCATCTAACAAAGCGCCATTCGCGTCATGACCAGCAACGTAGAAGAATATGGGGCCAGATCAGAAAACCACGCCGCATGAAGTAATTTCTGGACTGAGATCCTGGGGAGCGGTGAGGGTGGCGCCGTCCCCTTCGTGCGAGACTGCGTCGATATTAAATCATTTTCCAGTTGAGAACTTGCGACAGCCGCTCGCGCCCTCTAGCGCTATAATGGGTCGGAATGGTTTGTTTACCATGACTCGCTACTTTTCTGCTCCATGTGCAACATACATACCAACGCGAAGCCGAGTTCCATCTTGGCATCCCCGAAGGCTCCTTCCTAATATTAAGGATATTCAGTGCTAGTATCCAACAATATCCTACGGTGGTAAGCCTAGGTGGGGATAACATATATGTCCTTATTCTTTCTCTTGGATTGCATCCGAAGTTCACTCTGTACAGCCCGTCAACATGGTTCTCCCTGCAGCTCTTGCGACAATCTTCTTGCTGCTACGCTGCACTTTAACTGAGCCGCCTGTTGATTTCCCAGGCGACGAGACTCCTTACCGAGTAATTCCAACTGGCACTGTTTCCCCGAACAATATTCGTGCAACGTACCTCTATGGATATGTTGATTGCAACAAAAGCTTCGGCTCAGGAGCTAAAGGCAAACTTAATGACGCGTATTATGATGCATGGCTGATATCCAAGTCAATCTCTCGTAATCATCATATCCACGTTTGTCATGAGCTGTCCCCTTACCCCAGCCCATATACCGATCCTGATTCTTGCGAAATCATCTGAGAAAAAATAGACTGACTTTGTTATCGTCCTCTCCAGTACGGCATGAGTGGCGTCAGATATCGATTGGGACCACGTAGCTGCACTGGAGTTTCTAGGTGCCACAGGGCTAAATAACCTGAAATCTAGGCGGTCTTGGCAAATATAGCAACAGTTATTTATAGCTATATAAATCCCTTCCAGCATTATATCAAAGTTCGATGCGACGATCCAGCGAAGCTATGCCAAAATCGGCCTGATCAAGGCCTGTGTCAACCCGAACAAACGCCAAAGCCATTCCCATTTGCATATTCAACGAACTCTGACCCAGATAGCTCCTGCACTCGGACGATCAATTTCTGCCAGGGCTTCTTTGATCGCAGAAGTCTGGCAGATGCAATCTCATACGGCAAGACTTTCAGCCTATGATAACAGAGCACAAACACTTTTGGTAAGCTGGACCAAAAGTCTCGACTCTACGAATTTGGTGTACTAACCAGAATCGATCAGCATGAGCTATTCTATTTAGATCTGGCCCCAGACTTTCCAAAGCCTAATCCTCGTGTCGTCGATCTCGTGGTTAACATCAACTTGGGTTCTAAAAAGATTCGGACTGACGCATCCGGCCCGTGTATCACTATAGTCTTAGCTCGCTGGCAACATGGAGGGAACCGAGGCTCTGTCAGATACTGGGTTCAGCGAAACTCCGGCAATCTGGCATATTACGCATTGGCTAAGTACGTGATGTTCCTCGCCTACCCACTGTGGCACAAGAACTCGCCCGGGCCGCATTTCCGAGACCAGACCTGGGTTTACTCGCCACGTTCGTTGTAGACGGCAGCGAGCTTTATTTGAGTATTACCGACGATCTTACGGCTTGGAATTCTTCCGTTGGTGAACACTATCCAGGTTGCAGTGACAATCTAAACGAGAGCGAAAACAGCTCTCTCTTAAATATTGGCGGATTTACTCCAGATTTCAAGTAAAGAGATAACTATATCAGCCAAGTGTTGACGTGGATAGAGGCCCCGGGCTCGTCGGATGGAGGTTCTTCAGATTCGGGAGAGGACGCCGGCCAGCAGGTCGCCATTGTGTTGTATATTAACCCCCTCGGAGACCTGGCTTCGTGGGAACGACTCCTCGCATATATACTATATGATGCTTGGTAGTTTTACTACCCATAGTGGACACAAGTACTAGTACAAGAACTCTCGAAAGCTTGCTCAAATCTTTCCTCCAGCTATCGTATCCCACATATATGCTGGAGCCAGTCATGGTGTCGAAGATGGGTATCAAACCCCGATGATCTCCTATATAAATAGGGGTTGGATCGCTATATTAATGGAATGAATAAGATCCACCACATGTTCACAGTGTTTTGTGGTCATCGCAATCTTTCATCAAGTGGGCGGCGGATAATAGGTATGATTTGGAAGAGGTTGTTATGGAATCCTTGTTTGGCTGAATCTCTTGTACCCTACGTCTTTGTTTCTCTCCCCTCCAAATATCAGATTTTAGTTTGTTTCTTCTCACGGCGCAACATAACCTTTGGTCAACGATTGAATAAACACAAAGTGTAAAGGCCCTGCAACATGACGTCGTTACCTGACAATGCTAATCAACTGCGCTTTCGCCAAAGGAATGGTAGAGTCCCAACCACATGCAGCAGCAACCGGTTAGAGGCAAAGATGCAGCAAGCCACCAGCAAGAAGACGCAGCAAATCAGAGGCGGTCAAATAGACCACTCGTACCTTCATTAAGAAACAAGGAAGTACAATGAAAGTGTGGAATGATATGAATCAGACATAAGTATTCTTATGGTGCGGCAAGGATGGTCGCTTAAGATTTCCTAAACAAAAAGCAAAATGTACATTCTATATGGGGAAGTATCAGTGACTGGACTGGCCCACAAGCCTCTCACAGCAGCACAATTAGAATACGAATAGCAACTACTCAACACGGGATTGAACACGGAAGATTTCATCCCGGGTGTCTTACTTGTCGATGCGTTGGCAAATGGGAAGCATGCGGGAGGTGCATTATTTTTCGCTAGAACTACGGACTACCACTAGCATTACTCAGACAATTGCCGGATCTCAGCCTGGTGGAAGCACCAATGAGCTATATAGGTGCATCAAGGGGCGCAGGACACCTGGACATAAGGTCTGATCATGGTCCCTCACAGTGTTACACAGCAGGCCGGGATAGCCTGAGTATCTCTCTTGAACAGCGATCAGCTGAAACCCTGTTCCTTCCTGGCACAGGGTTGAACGCGTGTCCAAGATCATGGTCTATGCCGGTGGTAGATTCAATGCTGTGCCCTGCCTAAGTGTCTGACTTTGGTCCGCATCGTATCTACAATTTGGATTCGTTCCTTGCAGTACGATTGAAAATACCACGAGGAATATCTGTGCGGCAGCAGGAGGTCCTACTATTTGGAATACGATGCATACTGGTGCATGAATCAATACGAAATGGATATTCCTCAAGTTAATGAGGGCACTATACGTCAAGCTAAGTACGGCGGGCTGCATAATACCCGCTATACATAAATTCTCCGGAAGCGTTGCCCTAATCCCCCAATATCACCTGACGTAATACAGAATGCGTGCCTCAGGGTCTCGCGAACTGGCGTTCAGCTCCATATGGAATACGCCCTGCATTGCGTGCAACCTCGCCTCAGCCTCCACATGATATCTCGACCAGCGCTCAGATCTTCCAAGAAAGACTTCCCAGGATTTGTTGGTAGATAGGCTACCACTGTCCAATGAGACACATCTGTCTTCGTTCTAACCAGCAGGCTCCCGAAACAGGCCCAGCCCTAGCTTGCGAGGTTTCGGACGAGACGGGGACTACAAGTGCCATGGTTGGTTACTTTGCCTGTGTGCGTAGCCACGAGCGACTTCCATCTAGGGCTAGTTACTATCTTGTTGGAGGATTTGTTTAAAACTGGCCTGGATGTCAGCGCCATTAAGATCACGGTGCCTAAGCTGGACCTCCCAGTAGAGACCGGGAATGCTATGAAACCGCCTCTTGAGCTTTCTTTCTCACGGATAAGAATAGTACACTGGTATCCAATGTTAATGCCTAGGGACACAGCTCTCTTCTCGTGACCAATCTACACGGTGCAAGACATTGGGCCAGCGAAACACAGTTTTCTCCTATTTCGTGGTGGTAATACCCAACATGAGCTTAGGCATTATCGCGTGAGTCCCAGAGACAGCTCCACCAATCCTTATCCATAGTACCCTTAATCTCTGTCTCTATACGTAGGGTCGAGATACGAACCGCCTGTCAGCTGAATGAAAGCCTATACGAGATTCCGCCTCCGGGTCGGTGCAGGTATCTCCCATGACGACGGGGCTCGGGGATGGGTTTTTCAATATATTGTGAACTCAGCCACAGCCTGCAGAAAGCTATATATATCTAGGATGACCCAGACTTGCACGTTGTCTTCCCTAGCTCGTTCAAACACTTCAATCTGTACAATTATCAAAAACACATTACGATCTGCTCATAGACCATGCCTCGCAGCATGAAAACGATCCTACTTAGTATTTTCGCGATCGGCGGCCTTGCTCTAGCTGCGCCGGCAGCATGTAGTCCAGAGAAAGCCTTGGTAAGGAAAGAATGGTAGGCTCTTCCCCTGACCCCACTTCAATGCTTGTATGCTTGTATGTTGACATAACCAGGAGAGAGCTGGGGTGTGCTGAGCGAAAGGACTATATCGATGCACTTTGGTGCCTACGCCATCGCCCTTCCATCCTACCCATTGAGGAATTCCCGGGGGTCCGTAACCGATGGGACGATTTTGTTGCGTAAGTCAATATGTATCATTGAATTATTGTTTGCTCCAGCTCATGTATCAAGGACTCACATTAACTACACCAACAACATCCATTTCAATGGTCTCCTACTTCCATGGCACCGCCAGTTCCTCTTTCTCTGGGAAACGACCCTGCGCGAGGAATGCGGATACAAAGGCAGCGTACCGTGAGTAAAATCATCACACAGACTAGGAACCCGCACTGACCAAATGCTACAGATACTGGAACTGGCCGCTCGACACAGACAACCTACTCGAAAGCCCAGTGTTCGACGGCAGCGACACTTCACTCTCAGGCAACGGAGCGTTCGATCCAAACGAGCCGATGCCCTGTTCTCCCTCCGGGACATGCCTCCCGCGAGGAACCGGCGGTGGATGTGTGGAGTCGGGACCGTTCAAAGACCTCGTCGTGCACATGGGCCCATTCAGTCCCACTCTCGCTCGATCCTACGCGCCCATCCCCGACAACGCGTATGACTACAATCCGCGCTGTCTGTCGCGCAGCTTGAGCCCCGCCGTTCTGGGGATGCTGAACAACCAGGCTCGCGTGGACCGAATGCAAGCATCAACCACCATTCGAGATTGGCTCGCAGTCATGTCCCCCAGTGAATCTGACCAGGCGGGCTCGCATGGCGGCGGCCACCGCTCTGTCGGAGGATCCATGGCTGATTTCTTTGCGTCGCCGCAGGATCCCTCGTTCATGTTGCACCATGCCTTCATTGACAGGTTGTGGGCTCAATGGCAGGATCAGGACCCTGTGAATCGCCGGAATGCTTTAAATGGTACCACCGTTATCTACGACCCGCCGGATGCCCCGTTCGTGACGCTTGATACTCTGGTGGAGTTTGGGCAGCTGGGTCGTCCCCGGAAGGTGGAGACAATGATGGACCCGATGAAGTATGGTTATTGTTATATATATACTTGACTGTGCGTTGATTTAGTAGTGTAAGAACCTCTCTGGTAGTCGTGGATCCTCACAATGTGTTTCTTTTTCTCAAGTATTCCCACAATATCCACAGAACAAGTAACACGCAAGTAGTATTAGACCCGGCGTGATGATCCTGGATCACCGTTTCCGGTCAATGGCTTTGTGGCCACGTCCTACAAGAACCAAAAACCTTCCCAAAACCAGCCCTACAGACAAACTTCCCACCCCCCCCTAAAAAAGCACCCTCCCCTTATTATCCCTCCCCTTAACCCTCACATCTTTAATACCCAACACCCACACAACGGTCAACGCCATAAAGGCAATCCCCGCAATCAACATATTGCGCTGACTAACGGCATACGCGCGCTCGATAGCCACACGCGTCGGCGACCCGACCTCATAGCTGAGCTGCACATACAGGGAATCATTAATCTCCTTCCACTGCGCCTTGGTATCGTCAGGCAAATACTCCCTCAGCTTCTGGGGCAGGGTGTTTGTCCAGATCGCGCCGGAGATACTGTTCCCGATTGCGCCGCCGATGCTACCCACCCAGCCGAGCAGGGCCAGCATGGACGCGTAGTCATTGTGCTCGGTTGCGGTGGTCACGGCCGTCTGCTCCAGCGCGATGATCGTCCCCGTGCCCAGGCCGATGAGCACCTCGCACAGACAGATGTAGCCGATGCTGTGGCCCGGGGAGCGGAAGTAGATCATCAGCCCGATGGCGAGCAGGTATACTGGGATTGCGCAGAGGAGGAGCCATTTGAAGCGCCCCGTCCAGCGGACTAGGAAGCCGACGCCCACGAGCCACAGCGGGGAGATCAGGTTCGAGATCGCGACGACGTAGCCTGCTTCTGTGAGCGAGACGTGGTAGACCACCTGCAGGAAGGAGGTGAAGTAGCTGGCCCAGCAGTCGGCGGCGATGACGTAGGTTAGGTTCAGGAGGCAGGTGAATGTCACCGTGCGGGACACGAGGAGGTTATAGGGGACTAGGGGCTTGGAGGCGAAGAAGCGCTCGTATGCCGCGAAGACGATGATCGTCACGCCGCCGATCACTATCATGCAGATGATGTGCGTGGAATGCCATTTCTGGGGCTGTGAGCCGGCCAGCGCGAAGGCGAGTAGGAAGAGGGAGAAGCCGGCGATCAGGAGGAGGATGCCCATAATGTCGAATTCGATGAGGTAGTAGCGGATGTGCTGGGCTAAGGAACGTTCGGCATGGATGGGGGTTAGTGTTTCTGTCTGCTGGGCCTTGCGTTTGGCAAGCTCCCAAATGATGATCAGTGGGACGGTCACCGCGGGGAGGAGAATTGCTATCGTGCCGTAGGCCCAGCGCCAGTTGAGCCCGTTGAAGGAGGCAGAAAGCGGCGCTCCGGCGAAGGCCATGATAATGTATGGCGACGAGGTGAAGGCAAAGGCAAGGGCTCGATCTTGGGCTGTGGAGGTATCTGCAGTCAACACATCTAGCGAGAATATGAGGCCAGTGAGGCCCACCGTAATGAATGCCTATAGTTGAGATTAGTGTAATAGGGCCATGGGGGATACGAGGCATATACCTGTGCAACGCAGTAGATGGTAATATTGTGGCAACACGCCATGACGATAAGGCCAATGATAGCAACGACGAGCATGAGACTTAGCGCAACGGTGCGGTCCCATAGGTTCAGCAGCTTGGCAATTGGCATCGTGCATGCCGCACTCATGATACTAACGACGATTTGAATGACAGGGAGTAGCGAATGATTACTAAAGTCACTGGTGATGTATGGGGCTAGATTGCTTGTCAGGCTTCCATTGAGCGCTCGTACAAAGTACATGAGCCACATGCTACAAGAAGTCAGCACATTTGTACAGAAGTGTACCCATAGTGTACTAACCAGATATACACCTGGATCAAAGTGCTTTTAGACCATGACTTGGTCACGGCTTCTGCGATACGCACACCATTCTGCTGTTCCAACGCCGGCTCCTGAGGCCCTGTCGCAGTGGGGACCTCAGTAGTTGCAGGAGTAACCTTTTCAAGCATACTGTGCGGCGAACTCGGTTATGGGAGTTGAAACGAAGCATCTAGAGAAAATCAAAGCCAGCCGGATGGGGTTTTAATACTACTTGTAGCGGCCTGTCGGGATTCGAAAGTGCTACCAAACCCAATTGAACAGATAGACAGAGCTTATTATTTACGTAAGGATTATGAGGCATGCAGAGATCAGGGAATCGAATAGCCTAGCAAGATTGCTATAGGGTCTCATAGGCTACCGTGTTTACTAGTGAGCACATATTATAGCTGATATAACAAGCATCTTATCTTTAGTGGTCGGATACAACTCAAACCGCGTTTGGGTTACATCGGGCTATTATAAGACCAACTAATTAAGTAATGGGCGCCCACTAGTGCGCAGAGATTAGATTGATAATCTTATCTATCCGCTTTTTCCTTTGGTTTTAGTGTGCGAGGCCCAAAGGATCAGGCCATCAGTCCAAATGGTCTATTCTTTCATCCCAGACGATATCTTCGGGTGTGATGAAGTGGTAATACAATAGCAACGTCATACGACATATGTAGATTCTATCCTTGTGAATCACTACCATCGTCGGTAGAATCATTTAATGTTGTGAGTTACTCTCGCCAGGTTGTCTGCTTCGGGTTGTGGGCTCAAACCATTTGACAATCGTATTACGTACAGCAACGTGCATATTACTCAATCTGTCCTTTGTTCCCAGGATGAAAGTATTCTAGCTCCTTCCCGCGTCGAAAAGTCATGACCTATGTCTCTCAATCCTTGCCTAGCCTCGAAACTAGACGTGCGCAGCCTCGGTTTGCAACCCACGCTAGGAAAACCTCGACGCCGGCAAAGTGCCGACACCAGTTAGATACTATATGTAGTTAGTCTAATAGACGGATTAGACATTAGATCGATTTGAAAGGCTTGAGGCCTCAAGGCTATTTCACCTAGGGACTTCGAACGCCATTAGCAGGGAGCAAGATAGGGCTGAACAACAATTTAAATTGAGGATTGCTAGACGCTTTGGAAACTACTAATTACAGTAAAGATATAAGAGAAAATTGCTGGATACCCTTGGCTAAGAGATATATGATAGAGCCATACCAAGACCCTGGAAGACATTTCATAGTAACCTTTCTTCAAGACACGGATGAAGCTCGTAGGTCGGACAATCTTCTTTCATTAGCGTGGTACATCACACTTTTATTTGGATGTTCGTTTTGCTGGTTATGCTTTAAGTCTTCACGCAAGCCTATTCTACAGAACAATGGATATACCCCTTCATTCGCTTCATGATGGAGATGCTTCACCTGCACATTACTTATGCCCGCGCTTTCGCGGCCAAAATGTAAGTTAGAATGAACTAGCTACCCACAGATACAGCACGCCGAATAAATGCTCATCATTTCCCTCTTCCGGCTGTATAAGCAAGTACTTCGGATAGGTCTAGCATTGACTCCGTAAGTGTTTGTCTTCGTAAAATTTGCTATGTCCTTTTCTTTCAACAAGAACGTGGAAGTTCATGCTGATAGTAATGAAAGCTAGGCTAGGTAGGGGTCTAAGCAGGCGCTTCTGTTTTGCATACGTCTAGAAATGCAAAAGGTAGAATTAACATCGAGCTGGTATCTCTGTGCAAAACCACCAGCCTCTTGTTTTGGATACATGTTGCTCTCTATATACCACTATTCCAAACTTTATTCTGTATCCCTTTTCTCATTTTGCTTTCCTGACGTCCAGAAACATATAGCCGATGTATAAACATTGGTATTGGATACCCACCTTGCCCTATATGAGCATAGACGATGGAATGGAAGCAAACTTGTCGCACAGGGTCACCTTGTCATCACCGGGGAGCCTCAAACAAAACAAGCGATCGTCAGAGGCGCGATGATTCAACGGCCCCGCACGATTCACTCGGCCTTCATGAGCAGTTGATAAACTTCTAGCTTCCTCGGTAAGCTGCCTCGGTAGTTTAAAATGTCCCCCACATCTTGACCTTGGGCTGCGGTCCGAGCGCTTGCTTTATTAATATACACGTTGCTCCAAAGAATCTGAGTTCATTCTGACAAAAACAGTAGGCAAGATGCCCTTCTCATCGGCTGCCGACTTCGACGATGTAGGTGGCCCCTGAATTCCTCCCATTTAATTCCTACTCACCGGTGAAGGCACTTGCCAGCGTCCGGGCATCATTTGCGCGCGGCAAAACAAAGGATAAAAAATGGCGCAAGCGACAACTGCAGCAGGCATGGTGGATGGTTGAGGATAACAAGGAGCGCATGCAAGAGGCCCTGTACAAAGACCTGAACAAACATCCTCAGGAAACACTACCATTCGAGGTAGCTGGCTGCCAAGCTGATATCTTGAACACCCTGGAGCATCTGGACGAGTGGACACGAGATGAGAAACCGGAACGGACCAGTCCTCTCAACTTCCTGGGCGGTGCAACGGTTCGCAAGGAGCCCAAAGGCGTAGCTTTGATCATTGGAGCATGGAACTTCCCCTTCACTCTCCTCTTGGGTCCCATGTTCGACGCGATCGCGGCGGGTTGTGCGGTTATCGTTAAGCCGTCAGATGTTGCTACCGCCAGCCAGGACTTGTTGATGGAAATCATCCCGAAATATCTGGACACCGACGCTATCCGATGTATCTCAGCGGGAGCCAAGGAGATGGGCTACATTCTGGAGCACCGTTTCGATCATATCTTCTATACGGGGTCTGCGACAGTGGCCAAATTTATTACTGCTGCGGCAGCCAAGCATTTGACCCCAGTTACGCTGGAGCTGGGAGGACAAGGCCCGGCCATCGTCTGTCCTTCAGCGGATATCGAACTCGCCGCGAAGCGAATTGCAGCAACCAAATTTATGAACGCCGGCCAGGTAAGGCCCTCTCCATCCCTTTTCTAGCTCATTTTACTGTGTTCCTCTGCATCTGTTACAGAACGGGGCTAAGTACGTCAATGTCGACCAGATCTGCCTGAATGTAAACCATGTCTTCGTCCACCCAACTGTGCATCGCGAATTTGTCGATCATCTCAAGAAGTACTTCGACTTATTCCTCGGCGGGGACCGAGAAATATTGCCAACATACTACACACACATAATCAACGAACGCAATTTCGATCGTCTCGAGCGGTTGTTACAAAATACGTCCGGCAATGTTGTCTATAGCGGACAGCGGAACAGAGCAGATCTCTCCTTCAGCCCCACGATCGTCACTGGCATCGAACCCGGAGACAGTCTCCTCTCGGAGGAGCTCTTCGGCCCCATATTACCCATTATTGATGCCGACCTGGACACCGCGATATCCATAATCAACAGCATGGAACATCCGCTGGCCATCTACGGTTTCAGCCAGCAACAGAAGGACAAGGACCGAATCCTGGCTGAGACATTGTCCGGAGGCGTGACATTCAACGACTGCATGCTTCACGTAGCTGCAAAGGGTGCTCCATTTGGCGGCGTTGGCCAGTCCGGCATGGGCAAGTATCATGGCCCATACGGCTTTCTCGAGTTCACGCACCTGCGCACGCATATTGATCCTCCCTCGTGGCTGGAAAAGGTTATGGCCGCGCGCTATCCGCCATACACGTCCGACAAGCTCCGCAAGCTCTACCGACCCGCTAAAGCGCCCTTCGACCGCCAGGGCAATAAGGTGCGCCGGACAAGGGCCTGGCTGTATGTACTTGTCTTGGCCGTTGCTGGCTCAGTGGCAGCGCGCACAGGACTTTTTAACGCGTTCGTGAACTCGGGCTTATTGGCGCGCTAGGCATCTATATCGAACCTAGTCGGCATTAGTGAGCCGGTCTCTGGATCGGGTTCTAATGCTCACGATTTCGACAGATCCTTGTCTGGAGGATACGTACCATAAGTTGTTCAATTCGTCTCATATCTGTAATATCTATTTAGTTCTGAAATTTAATATCTATACTCATGAACCTGGTCAACATGAGGCTGTAGGCGCTGTTTCCCACTGTTGACTACATTTCCTTGCAAATATCAGTCATTCCTGGCCCTTCACAGTTTCTTCACTGGTGAAATAGCTACATAGACAGTTCATGCAATGCCCCTATCCCCAAAAGCAGCCAGGGCCTCTGATCCCGCACTTGGTGCATGTTTCATAACATTTGGCCCTCATAAAAAGCACCCAAGAGTGAACCGGTGGTAGCAGTGTTCCATCTCCAATGGCGATCAGCCCACAGTCTCAACCAAGTCCATACTTAATGGCCCACATGGCAAACAGCACTGCCAAAATATATGAGGGCTACTCTCGGACAGGAATCCCTTAAGGGCACGAGCATATGCGAAGCCGCGGTCCGCGGTCCGCGGATCTCTCACATTCTCACTTTAACGAATTATGTAGACAGGAAATCAGTACTTATTAAAATAGCTTATGAATACTTTCCGTTATATCTTCTAAGTGGATGTTAATCTAATAGCTGACCGGCAACCAACAGACCGATTATCACGATAGGCATCTTGACCACCAAAGCCAGCGCTTTCTATCAAACGTATTTTCAGCTCAAGGTGGTCGACAAGGGCAAGGGGTTAGGCATATGCATAGTCCATATATATCATATGACTACGTAGCGATAATGATATAAGAATCACCGATGGCCTAGGATATGTTATAATTTATATGAGAAGGTAGGTAGTAAAAAGTGAGGCTTTTGGATTGTACAGTTAGGTCATGATAAATGACATGGGGAGACAACCCTAGGTTAGAACGTTGGAGCGCTTGTTCTTAACCTGACATCTCCAGTTGATATCTAAACTACCCAGAATAGCCAGTTCCCGGAATTCTTGGTTCAAGCCAGGGATGAGTTCCGACATTCAGTATACCAATTAATGCACTTCCCTAGAACATCCCTGATATAATGTGGACTCTTCTCCAAAAGAACGATAAAGCAAGTAAACAAAAGTGCACTCTACACGATCAACTACTCCAATGCAAATATAAACCATGCCGTGTTCTTAAATGTTCCAGGAGGTATTGCATACGGTCAGTCTAACTTCGACTAACTCTGCAGATCTCTTTCCATCCATTTTAATATGATAGATATTTTCCTTGGAGAAGGGGATGTGTTACACCTAACTAGTATGAACACTTAAAAAAAAATAGCATCAAAGTCCCGCGCAATCGATCCCTGCAATGAAGATAGATTATACCAATACAGAAGCAATCAAGACCACCTAGTATACAAGAATCCAGGACCTAACTGCGTCCCAGTTACGAACACCTCCCAAGCAAAGCCCAACAAAACCCCATATCCAATACACAAAGTCCAACCCAGAGAAAGCACTCAATGAAAGAACCCAACAACAGAACTAAGCACCAACCACCCCACAACACAAACCGACACTCTAGAAACCTCCCTCCCCGACACAATCCCCGCCATACTTTCCCCCGTCTCCTCCACCGCACCCCCACTCTTGGTCTCCGTGGCCTTCCCCTTCCCAGTCTCCTTCCCGGTCTCCTTCGTCCCAGAAGTCTTAGTAGCAGTGGCAGTAGGAGTCCCAGTAGCAGTAGCACTCGTGTTCCCATGACACCAAACATCCCCCCAATCAACCTTGGCATCGTACAAACAATCTGTGAGAGCCTGGACGGACTGCCCCATCGCGAGACAGTAGATTGCGCAGTCGTGGTCGTAGGCGGAGACAGGGGCGCTGTTGCAGCATTTTGAGAGGATTGTGGAGTATTTGGAGTTGTTGGGGACTGCGCAGGCGGCGTCTTGCACGGGGATTTCGTATTGCGTGGGTGTGTTGCAGGTTTGCGTGCTTGCTGCTGCTGTTGCTGTTTGAGTGGGCATTTTGATTGTGATTTATGGGTTAAGGTTGGTTAGGGTTTGAGTCCCCGTGTTTAAACGGTAGGGTTATTGTTGGATACCTTTGGGTATTAACAATATTGATAAGTAAGATTATAATTCATAGAATGAGATAGTGCATAAATAGGGAAAGGGGGTGTTTTATATACTGTGTAGGAAATTATACTCGGGCTTTGACATTCCCTGGTCGTTTTCTTAGGTGTTCAATTAGGATACATACTACATACATCGGACCGGCTAAAAATAGTCGGTCACATCGAACATGATCCAGGGACATATCCGCGGGTCCCGGTGGGAACCTGAGTTTTACCCCTGAAGATTACAGAATTGGGTAGCCCATTCAGTGCGCTATAGCTTCTCTATTCGTAACTTGTGGTGGTTCGGTAGTTGGGTTGGGACATCCGGTTCATTTGATGCCGAGACTTCCCGGCGTGCCCTAATTCAGCGATCTGGCCCGGGCAGATGAGTCGGGTGGGTATATCTATCTCCAAATGATATCCACTTATATAGCCATTGAGCAGGTCAGGAATGCCAGACTTCATGGTATTTTGAACACCTCGGCCAGGGTCAATTCTCCACTTGCACTCACCGTACATTATCTCTGGCAAAGTCAAAGGCCCGAAGACATGCTCATTTCTGGAATTATCCTTCCTCGTTAAGACACTTCCATAGGGCTTTGTTGATGTTTGCCAAGAGTAATGAATACTGCAGATAGCTTTCTAGGATATTTCAAAGGTTCATAATTGTACCTGGACAAAGCTGCTCATGAACTAATAGTGTATATTTTTAAAATCTATCAAAGGCTCCGTATAACATGCAGAAGACATAACAACGTAACTTGTCGATTCATTTCAAACCAATTACTCCAACTCAATGGTGCCTGGGGGCTTGCTGGTGTAGTCGTAGGCGACACGGCACACGCCGGACACCTCGTTGACGATGCGGGTCGACACACGGGTGAGGAACTCATGCTCGAAGGGGAAAGCGACACAGGTCATGAAGTCGGTGGTCTCGACGGCACGCAGGAGAACAATGTTCTCGTACACACGCTTGTCTCCCATGACACCGACAGCGCGGCTGGGGTCCAAGGCGGCAAAGGCCTGGCCGATCTTGTCATACAACCCGGCTTCCCGGATCATGCTGATGAAGATGTGGTCGGCCTTTCTGGCCATCTCGACGCGCTCTGGGGTGATCTCACCCAGAATACGGATGGCAATACCAGGTCCAGGGAAGGGGTGTCTCATGACCATCTCGTGGGCGATGCCAAGCTGTCTTCCGAGATCGCGGACCTCGTCCTTGAAGAGCTCGCGGAGAGGCTCGATCAGCTTCAGGCCCTGTCCCTCAGTCATGCGCTTGGGGAGACCACCGACGTTGTGGTGAGTCTTGATGGTGGCACTGGGACCCTTGAAGGAGATACTTTCAATCACATCAGGGTAAAGGGTGCCCTGCAAGAAAAATCCGATCTTGCCGGCAGTCTCGGAGTGAGCAGCAGCGTCCTCGATCTTCTTGGCCTCCTCCTCGAAGACATCGATGAACTTGTTACCAATGAACTTCCGCTTCTGCTCGGGGTCGCTGATGCCCTTCAGACCCTCCATGAAGACCTTGGAAGCATCGGCCACGATCAGGTTGATACCGAGATGCTCAGCAAGAGTCTGTTTCACTTGCTCACACTCGTTCAGACGCATGAAACCGGTATCGACGAGGACCGCATGGAAACGGTCACCGATGGCCTCCTTCATCAGCTTAGCGGCAACTGTAGAGTCGACACCACCGCTGACAGCGCCAAGAACCTGGCCCTTGGGGCCAACCAGCTTGCGGATTCTGGCGATCTCTTGGTCGACGAACTGAGCCATGGTCCAGTTCTGTTTGCAGCCACAGATGTTGACAGCGAAGTTCTTCAGGAGCTTAACACCGTTCTGGGTGTGGGTCACCTCGGGGTGCAGCTGGAGACCATAGACGGGCTTAGTCTCGTGGGCAATGCCAGCGTACTCCGAGTTGGGGGTGGTGGCAATGGTGTGGAAGCCTTCGGGGAGCTTGCCCAGCTTGTCGCCGTGGGACATCCAGACGTTGAATTCGTCCTCCAAGCCATCGAAGAGGCGGTCGACATGGCCGTTGACCTTCTTGGCCTTGAGCTGCGCAAGGCCGTACTCCCTCGCAGTACCAGCAATGACATTGGTGTTGTCCAGACGGTAAGCAATTTCTTGCAAGCCGTAGCAGATACCAAGGATAGGCACGCCTAGGTCAAAGTAGGCGGGGTCGACGTGAGGCGCACCCTCCTCGTACACCGAGTAGGGTCCTCCGGATAAGATAACACCAGCGGGCTTGAACTTGAGATCCGCCAGCTTCTGGGTGCAAGGAAGCATCTCCGAGTAGACATTGAGCTCACGGAGGCGGCGGGTGATCAGATGTGTGTACTGAGACCTGTATCAAAGCGAACACATATGAATTAGCCGAGCTGCATGGTTTTTCATGTTTCGAATAGCATCCCCGATGAAGGGATGCAAGACATAAGAGTCTTACCCGAAGTCCAGGGTCAGGATAGTATCGAAGGCATTGTGAGGCTCAAGCTCGGGAATGTCGGCCATGGTGGGCAATTGTGATTATCAAAGTGTATATCTGATCCCCAGAAAATAGTCGCTTTGACGGCCTCGAGGGAGGCCAAAAGATTCAGCAGAAATTTTTGCAAAGGACGGTTTTTCTTTGCCCTGAGTCACGCGATCAGCCAATCACATGGCGTCCTGGTCCAGAAACGTCCCGCTTGGCCTCTCACGTGGTGTTACATGGAGGGGCACTGGGGCAGTATCTCTCGCCGCCCACCTCACCGCTCGGGGTTCCCCGCATTGAGCGAATCACGGCCTGAGGCTGCCGACTGCAGATGCTTCCATTCAGATCAAAATGCCCCAAAAAAGCTGGTCTACGCAGAGTACAGCCGATCCAGATCTCAATAAGCCATTCATTAAAGTTCTTGGTCCAAAGTCAATTGCTCTCCAATGTAATGCTAAGAACGAAAAGGAAACAGATGCTGGTATTTATCAAACTACCGTAATCTACGGTTTTATCATAAATTTTCTTTCGTTGCTCACATACTACACGAAATGTTAGCATACCGTCGACAATCAATGCTCAACTCATAGGGACATACCGTGAGACAGGGCTGAGACCCAACACCCTCATGCCGTTGTGCAGGACCTGGCGAGCGGACTCGTACAGAGCCATACGAGCCTTCTTCAGCTCAGGCTCACTGCCCACGACCTTAAGCACCTCGTAGCTGGAGCTCAGGCTGTGAGTCATCTTGAACAGGTATTGAAGGATGGTGGTCGGCTCCAGAGTGCGGGTGGTGTTCAGCAGGACATCGGGCCACTGGGACAGCATACGGGCAAGGTCCGTAGCGTGGGTTTCCGTCAGGAGATCCAGGTTCGCAGAGCCGAGCTCCTCAACATTCAGCTCCGACTTGCGAATAATCGAACAGAGACGGGCGTGAGCATATTGCAGATAAGGACCGGTGTCGCCCTCAAAGGAGGTCATGGCGTCCAGGTTGAAATCATAACCGTTGATACTGCCTCAATTAGTCAAGATTCAGACTCACTTGGAAGGACTGTAGTTAACATACCGCTTGCCAGACATGTCCTGCACCATGACGGAAGTAATACCCAGGATATCGGCCGTCTCCTCGGGGTTCTCGACTTGCTGGTACTTCTCATCGTTCTTCTTCATGACTTCGTGCATCTTGTCACGAACGTCTCTCAGAATATCATCCAAGAACTTGACGGTACCCTTACGGGTGCTCATTCCACGGACCATGCCGAAGTTGATGTGCTGACAACGGCTAGCCAAGTCCTTGTGGCCCATCAGGTCCGTGATCTTGAATAGCTGGGCCAGATGGAGATCCTGCTGCGCAGCAACGACGTAGATCATCTTGTCAAAGTGGTAGGCCTCGTCACGCTCCGTGATCGCACCAATATCACGGGTAAGGTAGAGAGGAGTGCCATCCTTACGGATAATGATAGCCTTTCCAAGCTTCTTGGCACCATGCTTGGTGAAGTCAACAATGACGGCGCCCTCAGACTTCTCGGAGACGCCGGCCTTCTCCATATCCTGATAGGCAGTAGCCATGCTCTCGTTCTTGATCTGGGACTCGCCAGAGTACACATCGAAGTCAATGTTCAGACGGGCGTAGGTTTGACGGTACTTCTGGATACTGAGGTCACGGAAACGGCGCCAGAGAGCCAGAGCCTGTTCATCACCGTCCTCCATGCTCTTGAAGTAGCGACGAGCGCTCTCGTCCTCGCTGGCATCCACGAGCTTCTGCAGTTCCTGCTCGAGTTCGGAGACATCCTCGTTCTTCTCCTTCTTGGCCTTGATTTGTTCCTTCAGCTCCTTAATGGGACCCTCCTGCTGGGAAACAATTTGGTTGATCTTCACGTAAACATCAAACAGGTGGTTAATCGGGTCCTTGTTCAGTGCCTCTTCGCTACCGAACTGCTTGTAACCGTTGGCAAGCAGACCGTACTGCTTACCCCAGTCACCAAGGTAGTTCATCTTGATAACATCCCATCCCATAACGGTGTACAGATTGGCCAGGAAACCTCCAATGATGGTACTACGCAAGTGACCGGCATGGAAAGGCTTCGCGATGTTGGGCGAGGAGAACTCGACAATCATCTTCTTCTGGCCCTTGGAAGGGTCCGAGGGATCACGCAGACCTTGGTTGCCATTTGTACCGTAGGCCGCCTTCTCTTTCAAGATGCGGCTCACAACAGTCTGGGTAAGAGGTTGCGGCTTGAAGTAGAACACCAAGTGAATACCAACACAAGTAGGAGGGAGGACGAGGTCGGACTCGGGGAACTTCTGGCGGAGCTCTTCAGCCAGATCCTGGGGCTTCTTGCCCTTGATACCCAAGGCGGGGACCTATCGATACAACACGCGTTAGCACATCTGTAGCCCAGCAGTGTATCTAGTATCATAGCGTACCGGCAGCAACAGATCACCCTTGTCCAATGTGCTACTCCATTGCAGACGGGTATAGATCTTCTCTGACTCGATGCCGGAAGCCGCACCCAGCTTCTCGGCGATATGCTCTCTATAGATATCGACGGGGTTCAAGGAAGGAAAAGAGTTGGGGAACTTCGAGGTCTCGGTGGTGGACTGGAGCTTGAGCCCCTCCACGGCGACAGTAAGGTCCGCAGCAGATGCCATAGCTGCGACAGGAGTGCTCGTACTAAAACGTCGAGAAAGGAAGGGCGAGCGCCTGGGATTAAAATGCGAGAGGGGACGGGGACGACTGTATAAGGGAGAGCAATTATTTTGTGGACCGCAGGACTGCACAGTCTGGAAAATGGCGCTGGAAAATCGCCGGGCCCCGCTAAAGAGATACCGACCCATAAACGGAGGGGGAATTCAAGCGCTGGAGGGGAACTTTTTTTCCCTCTTTTTTTTTTTTTTTGTCCGTCCTTCGTTGACTCAATGCGGCAGTTCTAGTTGCGCCCAGGGCGGTGAGTGAGTCACGGTCTGCCAGTGGCATGGATGATCACCTGATTCTATCGCACCCTAACCCTATTTAGGTATACGTCTCAACCCTGGGGCCATTTGACGTCACCATGCTGGACGTCAACACCTGGTCTTGACCGTGCTTGGACCATGCATCTCTTCACCATGTACATATATCCGGTCCTCACTATGCGTACGCCTGTTTCTTCATTCTCATATACACTGCCACCGTCACAATGGGTCGTCGTCGCCAGGTAGCCCTCGCCAAGAGTATACAATTCGCGCTCTTTAGAGATCCCAAGACCTTTCGCAAGACCTTGATTGGACGGATCATTGCTTTCTTCAGCGTATTCTCCCTGAAGCTTCTTCGATATGAGCCAGATGTGTTCCGAAGGCTGCGGAATGAGATCTGGGAGATCTCAGAGGAGCAATATAGAGCCAGCTTCTTGAGTGGAGAAGACAAGGCGCTTCCTCTACTCCCGATGGGAGATCTGGGCTTTTCTGGATCCGTATGCTCATGAGCCCTTTACATTATTTCTTTAGAAGAGATAGGTCTCAGTACTAACTCATACTTAGACATTCTTCAGCACGTCTAACTCCACATTCCTCGTCAAGAGCCTCCCCCGGCACTTCGAACACTCCTTCTTCCGTCATGATCTCTTCCAACCATACTATGAATACATAAGCGCTCATACAGACTCCATCCTTGTCTGGATTACGGATTATATCTATGCGGCGTACACGTCACTGGGAACCCTCATCAAAACAACCCCAGCGCACCATATCATCATGGAGAACATACTATGCGGAAAGGAGAAGGACCCAGCCGCCGAGAAATGGGAGACCTACGACCTGAAACCGATTGACTATTTCTTCCCCGAGCGGGATCTAGTCCCCGGTCCACTCGTCAGCCAAGAAACCTTAAGTCGACTGGCGGACAAGTTTCCTGATAAGATCCGGCTGACTCAATCGGACTACGACGATATGAAGCGGATGATAGAGGCCGACACGGCATTTCTTGCGTCGGCCAACGCGGTGGACTACTCTCTGTTTCTGGTTCGCTTCCCGGCCTCCTCCAATCCCGACGTGATCGGGAAGCGGAGTAAGTGGCGTATTGGGTTAGTGTCCACGGATGGGAAGTGGAAGTATCGTGCGGTGCTGTTGGATTTCTTCTGGGCCAAGCATAAGTTGCATGCGCAGGCGATGACGGGAGTCATCCAGACGTTCAATGTTATTGGCCGTCAAGGTCCGATGACGATTACCACGACGGCTGATGAGTATCGGGAGAAGTTCCTGGCCTTGGTGGATTCCATCATGGAGGTTTATGAACCTTAAAACCCCCCATGCTATATGACGTACACTATTCTATTAAATCAAAGTACATGACCATGAATATACTTTCTAAACGGGTTAGGTAGGATTTGAATGGAAGTCGCATTACCGCCATTTTCCCAATCAAGCAGATCGCATTTTTACATCGGGTTCATACAGTTGGATTGCAACGCTAAAGCCCTGCAAGCAAGGCACAGCACGAAAAGTGAGATCATCGTATCAAATTCTAGGTATCGCGCGTACTTAAATGGTAGTGAAACCCGCTAGAGTGAGTACCTCATCTAAATCTATCATCCCGAAACGGTAAAGGCATTTTTCCGGGTCCAACACCAACATAGTATGGCATATCTCAAATATGAGCATCCGCACATCTATCCGAGCTAACATCGCGACGGGAAGACATGCTTTTTATCTGTTATATAAGCTGTCAAGCACAAACAGGTAGGAACGCTTAGAAGCAGAACACCTGGTCCTCAAGCTTGCTGACGGGGCGAGCCTTGGTGTATCCGAGAGACTCGGTCGCCTTCTTCATGGCGCTGATCATGGGAGGAGGTCCGCACAGCATGATCTTGATGTCCGCGGCCGGCGCAGGGAGGCGCTCCTTGATCATGTCAGGAGTAACGAATCCAACACCACCAGTCCAGCCCTCGGGGGGGTTGTTGAGCACATAGTAGACACGGAAGCCATCATCCTCCTTGACCAGCTGCTCCAGTTCCTCCTTCAGCAGGATATCGTCGGGGTTGACGTTGGCAAAGATCAGGTCCACCTGGGTGGTGTCGTTGCCACCGTTACGGGGGCGGTTGCGGATGATGGCCTTGATGATCTGCAGCATGGGGGTGATACCGGTTCCTCCGGCAATCATACCAATGTGGCGGCACATGTTCGGGGTGTACACCATGGCGCCCTTGGGGCCGCGCACCTTCATTTTGTCGCCGATCTTCAGGGTGGTCAGGTACTTAGAGATGTTACCCTGGGGGTAGGCCTTGACGAGGAGATCGAAGTAGCCAGCCTCATTGTCGGAAGAGATTGGGGTGTAGGAGCGCACAACCTCCTTGGGCTGGCCTTCAATGGTAGCGGCGAGAGAGATGTGTTGACCAATGGGCAGACCCAGGATGTCAGTGGGGCGGGGCAGGGCAAAGCGATAGATGGCGACGTTGTGAGAGATCTCATTCTTCTCCTTCAAGACGAAGTTCTGGAACTCGGTGGGGTTCAAGACCTTTCTGGCTTCTGGTCCAGGTAAGGAAGCGGTCAGCACAATCATACGATGCGGATTGGGGTAGCGCTGAGGTATCACATACTACCACTGCCACCGAGCAGCTTCGCGCCGACCAAGACAGCGAAAATGGCTGTGCCAACCACCAGGAGGGCGGAGGTCATGTTCTCCGAAACAAAGGCACTGTGGGTGGCGGTCAAACGTCAGTCATTGCGCGATAGGTCACCGCGGGGAAATAAACACAAACCTCATGTTGACAATTCCTCCAGCGACCCCAGAGAATGGGAATAATAAGAGATACAAACGTTGAGAAAGTAGGACAGAGATGGAGGAGAAAGTGAAGAGGGAGAAGAGGAAAAGACGCGGAAGATAACAAAATAGCGGAAAGATTTGGGATGGGCCGCCGTACGGGGCCGTTACCGGCGAGGTACCCGAGGCAGGCACAATGGATCGGCAGATCTTCCTTTTCTTCGTTCGACGAGGGCGGTAATTTTACGGTACGTATTGTTGACCGATCGGTTGAACTCGAAATCACGGGGAGACAAAGAGGTGTTGACGCCGAGGGTTCGGAGAGTCATGTGTGCGGGGATCTCTCCTGTACGAGTATGTAGACATTAATTACCTCAAGCAGGCCATTCACTGTCCCAATGGCTTCCGAGTCGGGTGGCAAGATGGTACGACTCAGGGAGTTCATTGTGGCCTCCGCTGTCAGATCAATAGATTATGGTCTAATCTAAGCATATCCAGTCATACGAGTCCACCCATCATTGTGCAAGAACCAATCCGAGTCGACATCCCAAGTCCCTGTTGGGGGCTTTTGCTTTTCTGGGGTAAAGATTCCCGATGCCAATATCCATTGTCTGCCTCAGGTTCCCCTCGAATGGAGACTTTTACTTCTCTTGCCCTTCCCGATCCAGAATTCCGATCCGTCCTTCAATTTCTTTGAGTTCCATAGACAACCCACCCCCAATAGACTCTATCTCAGTAAATAGTTCTTATAACCATGACCCGCGAAGAGGCTCCTCCAGCCTTTAACCTCACCGACGTCGATCGTCAGGTTCTTGCACAGACCGACGAGGAATTCGTCCTCCATGACTGGGAAGATCTCAAGGCGATCATCGGTATGTCCTATCTTCTTATTTTTGATCTTTAAAAATTATGATAAAAATAAACATGGAAAAAAAAATATGTCTATTTATCAATCTTCCCCTCACGCTTTATTTCCAATCCCCTCTTCATGGCTCCGCATTCTTAATTTTCCCTCACGCACTGATTATCCCCCCACATACTCACCACGAAACAGCCCGGAATGATCTCGGAATTCTAAAGCGGAAACCCTCCGATCTCAAACGCTATCTCGCCTGGACAGCGGATATCAAAGCCCAATATGGCACCATCACAAACTACATTTGTCAACGCCGTTTAGGCTGGCACCTCCCGGACCCTGACACCACCACCGCCGCTACTACCGGCGCCACAACAGACAGTGGGGCGGTCTTCCCCTTCAGAAACCCGATCCCCTTTGCCGATCCCGCCGACTACAAGATTCTCCGCAACGACTGGCCCTACGGCGTCACCCCGGACATCAACCATCTCGTCGTGTGGCTGCGGACTCCTGTCCCCGTAAAGCCGGAGAATGGGGACGTGACCGACGAGTCCCGCGCCCTGATTGAGGATTTCGTGCACCGCACTTTTGTCGCGCGCCTTGCACAGGAGGGGAACTTGAAGCTTTCGGATCCGAAAGAGAATGTCCTCTGGTTTAAGAATTGGACTGCGCTACAGAGTGTGCGCAGCTTGGAGCATATGCATGTTCTTGTGAAGGGGGTTCCTGAGCATATTTTGCAGGAGTGGACTGGAGAACCTATGAGAAATTAGGATGTCTTTTCGGCTGGATTCAGAAATTAGATGTTAGATGTAGATCTGCTTTTGCATCGAGAGACGTTTGGATACATTGCACACGTTGACGCCAGTTATCATAGTTGTTTTAATATTCCTGTGTAGTTTGTGTTGTGTTAGGATAGTTTATGTGCTTACAGTCCTATTAAGCTGAGATATATATTTCACCCCCCTAGAGAGGCACCACACAGTTTGGCCTCTCGATTTCCCCGAATCCAAAAAAGAAAAATAGGAATAAATAAATAAAAATGTAAAATCACTTAGAATCTACTATGGGCACTACTTGACACCCACGAAACATATACATGACGGCTAATGCGAAATGCATCATTACTAGGGGGAACGGCGCCCGAGGAATTAGTGAGCCAAAGGCCTTGCCAGGCCATAGTGAAATATAACGCTTGATCTGCCGGTCTGTTACTAGTGTTTACAATTGCTTAAAGGGAAGACCAAGGTATCTAGCACGACACGGCCCAGATTATAAGCCCACAGAGACAGGAATACTGATTTACGTATGTCTGAGATAAAAGCAAAAGTTCCACATAAGTCGTAGCGAATGCATCAAGCTATCCAGACGTTAAATAATTGACTGTGGGGAATTTCAAAGCAAGAGCCCGACGATTCAATAAAAATACAAAGAAAGGGGTCAAAGAAACCTTCCGTATACAAAGGAAGTGATATAATTAGAAGAAAAAGCGATAAATAGAAGAATTGCCCGTCATAATACGCCTGCTACCCTGTGTATCCCGGCAACGGAGTAGTAAAGACACGTGAACCGATCAAAGAGGACCTCCCCACCTGCTCCTCTCATGACTTCTGCTCTTCAACGAACTTCAATGCCTCCTCTCTCGACACTACGTCGATCGTACTAGCCTTCTGCCGGAAGCTGACACCGTAACACTTCTCGGCCACATGCAGCATCTCGGGCCGGAAAGTGGTACAAATGAATTGTCCATTCGTGGAGTCTGAGATCGATTGGAGCATTTGAGCAACTGCAGTACGGTACTGGGCGTCGAGGTTGGCATCGATCTCATCGAACAGATAGAACGGGGCTGGGTCACAAGCCTGGATAGCGAAGACCAACGCAAGGGCGCAAAGACCTATCAAGGGGTTAGTACATATGTCACTATCAAATGCGCGACGGAGAACCTACTCTTCTGGCCACCACTGAGCTGCTGTATACGCTGTTGTTCATCATGTTTACTGTTGAAGCTGACACTGATTCCAACACCGACGTAATTCTCCACGCTATTCTGGGCTTCTTCGTCCTCGGAATCGATCTCGTCTGCCTGCCGCATGGCGCGGTCGGTCTTGCGCTGAATGATCAAACGACCACGACCCGCAGGCACAAGCTTTTCGAACACATTATGGAACTCACGGGAAACTTGCTTGAAGGTCCGTTCAATGGCTTCATCCTTTCTCTGATCGAGTACGTTAATGAGATCATCGATCGATTTCTGGGAGGCATCAAGCTCTTCTCTTCGAGTAGTGAGTGTCTCACGCTGCTTCGTGAAATTGTTGTACTGCTCGAACGCTTTCTTGTTGACATGTGAGTACTTCTTGAGACCCTCGTTAACTTTGTGGAGCTTCTTGACAACGGCATTGGAGTCCATATTCTTGTACTTGGTGAAAGCTTCATCAGGAAGGACACCCAGGTCACGAATGTTTGCTGCACATTCGGCGGCCTGCTTGGTTAGGGCAGCCTTCTTCTGCATGCTCTTCTCCATCCGTCGTTGGTGCTTCTCAATGGACTTGGCCAGTTCGTCCAGCTCCCGCCGGGTCTCTGCATTTCTTTGTCCAAGCTCAGCCATGCGAGCATTGGCTTGTTCAATGGACTCATCCACTTGTTGGAGACGTTGGCCGAGTTTTTCGAGAGCCTTGTTGAGACGTTTCATCTCGCGCTGGGTCTCCTTCAGGTTACCCTGACTGCCATCATCAGCCATATCAATATCCTGGCCCACCAGCTGATCAAGACGAGGGTGGAGATTCTCCCGAAGCTCAACCTCTAGGACAGACTTGCGGGCCTCCAGTTCACTGCGTTGGCTGGAGAGTTCTTGATACTGCCGTCGAAGGTCTTGAGCGGTAGCGCTGAGACTTTCCAGGCGTGCTTCTTCTTCATTTGTAAGTGCCTTCTGGAATGGCGACTTAAGTTCTGCCTCGAAGGCACCGACTTGATCTGTCACAGCAGCCAAGTTGGTTTCAATATTGCGCAGAGCCCGTCGCTTAGCCTCAAGATTATCGTTTTTCTTCTGGATAAGGTCACGCTTGCTCCGCAGCTCTTGCCGCATTGGACCACTGCTGTTCTGTACCTGGTGTCTTTGCTGCTCCAGCTTTTGCAACTCACCTACAGCTCTCGTGATGAGTTGGTCCAAGTGTTCAAGTTCCTTTCGAATTTCATTACCGCGGCTCTTTTTGGTTTCAACTTCATCTCTCCACTTGGCCAGGTTCTTAACTGCATCGAGACGGGACTGGCGCGAATCGTGGAAACCACCAGTAAGGGCACCCCGCTTGTCTGAACGGTCACCCTCGGGAGTGATAGCGTTCACACCATGGCTTCGGGCATACTGTGCGGCAACTTGCAAATTCGGACAGATGATAGTTTTACCGAATACATGAACAAATGCTTTCTCATATGCCCGATCGTACTGGAGCTTCTCGATCATTGGTATTGTGTCGCTAGCCCTGGGCATGTTGGTAGGCCTTGACCTTAGCCTGTTCAGGGGCATGAACGTGACTCTTCCAGCCTTTTCTTGTTGCAGGATCTCCAACACCTTGGTGGCAGTCTCGTCCGAGTCGACCACATAGTGGAACAGACTCTGACCCGCCGTGACCTCGACAGCTGTTCGGTACCGGTCATTGACATCAAAGAGTTCTGCAAGTGTGCCGTAAACACCTTCAAGGTTGTATTGACGCTTGATTCTGCGAACGGCTGCAATACCACGGCTAGTGTTATGATCCATCATTTGAGATAGAGAGCGATCTGCGCGGTCTACTTCGTTTGAAGCGTTCACGAGAATCGAATCCAACTTTGCTTCTTCTCTCCACAGTTCCCTGAAGAAGTATTAGCGGACTGCTAAGGTGGGGAAGAAAGACAGACAAAAAAACGAAGAAACTTACTTTCGCTGGTCCATAAGGCGATCCCTCTCATCCTTCGCCGCTTGGACTTGTTGTTCCACAGACTGAATGGTGTCTCCTCGACCATCAATCTGCTTTCGCAAGAGTTCTGTTTCCGGTTCTAGGAGAGCAATGTCGTTTTCAAGCTCTTTGATATCTTCCTGAGTCTGGGCCATCACTCCTTGTACCGTGGATATGGACGTGTAGTTGTCCTTAATCTCAGCCTGCAGCCACTTATCTCGCTCGGACTTGTTCCTAAAGCGGGAATTCCGGCTCTGTTTGGCATACAATCTCTGGCGGGAGGTCTCTGCCTCGGTCAACTGTGCCTTGACGGCATCCTCCTGGTCTTTTGCAGAATTGAAACTTGGGATGAGTTGCTGTAATTCCGCCTCGCGCTCTTGTATAGCAGCCTCAACCGACTTCAACTCTTCGTCATGACGGGACTTCTGGGCTTGAGCAGTTGCTTGGTTATCGGTGAGCGATTTGGCCTGCAGCTCAACCTGCGCCAGCGCCTTGGATGCTTCACGGCGCTCGTCTTCCAACTGCGATTTGTCTACCTTGAGGAACTCGATTTGTTGCTTGCACTCGGCGATTTCGGCGTCAATCTGCGCCATTTCCTTCTCACCTTGGATGAAACGGTCACGGTTCAGGTCAGTGTCCTCAACGCCAGTCTGCCTCTGCTCTTCCAGACTGTCAAGGTAGCTGGCGATCTCTTGTTGTTCGCGGGAGTAAATCGTGTACTCTAAGCAGCGCCTCTCTTTATCTTTGTCTTGGAAATTCCTCAGCTCGTCCTTCTCCTCCTCTAGTTCCGCGAGACGCTCGTTAATAAAATCCAGGAGTTCGTCAATCTTGGTCCGCTTATTGTTTGTTTCGTGCATGATCTTGAGAGACTCTGCACGACGCGCTTCGTAGACCTGTGTTCCAGCCACTTCCTTCAGCAAATTCAGTCGCTCCGAATCTTTCATATTGGTCAAGGCCGTCACTCGACCCTGGGGGACAATATAGTAAGGGTTCGACCGCGAGAAACCAGCGGACTCGAGCAAATTCATCACATCGTTCTTGGTGGCATTCTTACGATCCAGCGTATATTCGTCTTTCTTCATGCCAATAGTACGACGGAGCACGACTTCGGGTTTGCCAGTAGGGAACCGATCATCGGAGTTATCGAAGATAATCTCAACGTATGCCGACATCACAGCGGAACCCGAACCTTCCTGTTCAGCATAAGCATATCGTAATCGGACGGAGTAATCAGGATACATACGTGTAAGAGAGCCTGGCGTTCCTCCCGGCCCATGTGAGTGTAGGCATCGCCGAGAACGAAGCGAATGGCCGCGAAGAAGTTACTCTTGCCAGAGCCATTGCGACCAACAATGACATTGTGTTTTGGAGAAAAGGGCTCGATGACCGTTTGATCCTTGTAGCTGTTATGCGGAGATAATGGACGGTTAGTCTAGATGCCCGAAGAGTCTCCGCAGTCACTTCAGATATCGCGCGACTTACCTCTTAAAGCCCTGGATAATGATTTGCTTGACGTACATGTTGACAAGGCGCGCTTGACACGGGAGGTTATGGCAAGCACAACAACCAGATCATCACGCAACCGACGGTAGAAATCAGGAGCCGATGCCCTGACGGCGAGTAGCAAGGGCGGACTACAGGTGGTGTAGGAGTCCGAGGCGCTGGAGCACGGAGTTGACAGTTGCTTGATTACTTGCGACGGCACGCGTTGGCCGATCGCTTTGCCTTCTTTTCCCTACGCGTTGCGACCCGCGGGGTTCTGCCGGGCGGTGAGCGCACAAGGTCCACACTTAATCGAATATATCAGTAACTTTTTTTTTTCTTTGCCGATTTCAGCGCCCACGATCGAGTCGATTTGCCACCTTTTTTCTCGGAATTCGAAGCTCACCATGGCGTCGACGGATCCAAGTGCCCAGGCTCCTGGTCTGGCTGACGGCTTATCACCTTCGCACACCTACATCCCTAATCAAGGATATATTAATGAAGATGGCACCACCCCCACTATAGCGGGGCAAGATGCTACGGTGCAGGCGGACGAGGAGGACGAGGAGGAGGAATACTACGATGATATATTC